TGACTAGACAGACACTATTCTATAATCCCTGGGCACACAGATACACGTCTGGAAGGGGAAGCAGCCCTCTTTCTCTCATTGCTTCTGGAGCTGGATAAGGGCCCAGCTGCTCGCCCTAGTTTACACTCCTGTCACAGCACACATCCATTTTTCTCAGGCTTGCTGAAGGCACAAGCCTTCTGGTTTACAACTTAAACCTCAGAAAAAAGCCTTGAGAAATGTGAGCGAATTCCAGATGCACAGGGAGGCTCTTCAGAGCATCCTGATTATCCTTCTTGTAAGATAAAGCACAAGAAATCTTCCTAAATATCCTGTCTTGAGGCCATTCTCCCTTCTGCTCTGAAGAGCCCTTGAGTTTCTGCCCCATCCCGAGCTGCTCCTGGGGCTGGCCCAGCAGCCAGCACTGGCCACATGGGCTGCTTCCAACAGGACCTTCCCTCTTGGGCCAGTTATCCTCACCATGGAGGACCTAACTGTCCAGCAGGATCACACTGAACTCATACAACACTTACACATAGCTCCCTAAAAATGCAAAGGACACCAGGGAGTAAAAAACAAACAAACAAACAAAAAAAAAACCTATAACCCTAACCTTGTTCTGCAAAATGACACCCAACTAATGGTCATTTCTCCATAAGCTACCCGAGCTAATTGTTCTGAGACAATATATTGATTCAGACTTGCCCAAGGCTGGGGCAGCAGTAATGCTGCTGCCTATAGCTGCTCTGCAGGCTCATCCCAGGCTCTATGGCCAGCACTGGCTTCCCAGGGAGTCAGACAGAATCCTGCACAGTCCAGCTCCTTGTTTCGCTCCCGGTCTTGCCCTGCACTGGGCACTGGGCACCCAGGTTAGTCCATAGCATTTGCTAATAAATTTCAGAGATATTTCAAGAGAAGTCTGGGTCTGTCTTTTTGAAATACAGCAAAGAGTATCTGTATGGCAATACACAGACTGAAGGAATTTAAATCCTCTTATCTGGAATACTATCTGCTATGTAAGTGAAGCTGGACCAATCCTCTATATTTCACCACAAAAGTTAAAGTGAAATAAGAAGGATCAGGCCATTATGGGGACTCCTAAACCTCCTGCCTATAGGAGCAGCTGAAACTCATCCTCCCAAGAGACCCTCCCTTGGTGCCACCTCCTGGCCCTGGTGCCCGTCCCTCCGATCCACTCCCTCACACTGCTGAGAGGGTCCTGAGCCCGGGCAGGGCCTGTCGGACAGGACAGAGCTCTCCCTTCGTGACCCTGCAAAGGGCTGCTGCCTTGCATTAACAAAAATGGAGGTCTCAAACCTACTGCTCCCAAGCAGGCCCTTCCCTGTGGGGTCTGCAGCCACAGACCCATCTCCCACCCCAGCAGCAACAGCAGCAGAGGCATCACCACACCCCCAAGCAGGGGGGCAGACTCATCTCCCATCAGCAGCCACGTCCCTTTAATCCAGCACAAGGCGAGAACCACCTGAAAGTCATGGCCAGCTCCTCCACGAGGATCATCAGGCACCTGAGACACTGCTATCAAGGGTCATAAAAAGGGCTGAGGAAGAAAAATCATGTTGTATTTATTTGTACATAAGGGGTGGTTGGATGGCTGACCTGGTGGACCTCCTTCCTGTGGGTTTTGACCTTGGACCTGAGCGTAGTTTTGCAGTTGTGCCAATTCACATTATGTACAATGGGCATTTTGAACAAAAAATGTTTTCCATTTTGTGGCCGCTGGTAGCTCCTCCCCTCCTCTCAAAGAGTAAAACCCTCTTCAGATTCATGCTATGTAGAGAAAGGATAAATATTCAATAAAGGATCAGGGAATTAATGCAAACACTGGATAATAACCTAAATTATCTCATAATTGGGTTCATTCCCTACTTTTTACATTACACATTTATACTTTTTATCCACTGTGGAGATGAAATTCTGTTAAATTAGGTTGACAGAAGTAGGATGAGCTTCTGAATGCAGCTTTTTCCAAAAGCTTCCTTATGGTTCATCTCTCCCCTTCCTCACTCTCATAAAACCACTTCTTCCCAACATATTAAAGGGGACGAATTTCAAGAGTTTCTCTAATTGATCAACAAAATCAGATAACTGGACTAGATCTAGCCTCATGATCTTCTATTTTCAAGAGAAATAAGCTCCCATAGAGAACAGAGTTGTTTCCCTTTATGTTTATTTAACAGGATTTTCCTAAGAGCAGTGCCCTGAAGAGCTGGAAACGCGCATGGCCTTTGTTTTTGCAAGCATATTATAAACGGATACTGATCTCAGGCACTTAACGTGCTTATTTCTTTAAACAGAAGCACCAAGGCAAGGGATGGAAACGTGCGACGTGGACAGGAACGTGAGCAGGGAGGTCCCTGCTCTCCCCCTGCCAGTCGTGCCGGTGGCCGCAGGCAACTTGCTCTGGTTTGGGGCCCTGCGGTGGACTAGACGGTCTCTAGAGGTCCCTTCCCACCTTGAACATTCTGTGATTCTGTGAAAAGTGGTTTCCCTGGGTGCTGTTTTTATGCTACCGTAAAATAAAGGTCACTGAAAGCAGGGTGCTGGAGACACAGAACACGACCACTGCTCGCTGCACAAGACCCTCTCCTAGGCAGCATTTCCTTCCCAGGCTTAGCACTACACCGGACAGATCAAATTATGTAATGTCAAAGGGCAATGTGATACAATAGGATTGCTTCCAAATCCAATATATCCAATTTTTTTTTTTTTTTTTACACCACTAAACCAACCAGCTAGCCCAGAAGGTCACAGTGGACTAAGAATTTGCAAGCAGAGCCTATCATAAAGCCCACCGCGAGGTCCCTGGGCAAAGGTGCTTCCAGCTTTCCCAGGGCAGCTGCCGAAGGGCCGCGCCGGGAGCAGGCGGAGGCCCCGGGCACAGCCAGTGCTGCAGCGTCGCTGCCAGCACAAACCCGAGCACCTTGGTTGGAGGGAGATCCCGGGCACCCAAGGGATACGGGCACAAACTCTGCTCTTAGGCAGCATCTGCAGCCGGATGAGCTACAGTCCTGGCTTGTTTCAGTGACTCTGTCTTGCATAGGCCAGGGAATTCTGGAGCATTGCACAAAATTCAGTGTACAACAGATTCCGGAGGGCTGCAGTAAAGGGGGAGGTCTATTTTTCACACAGGAATTACAACATACGTAAAAGTACACAGGCAGCTCAGTCTGGGCTTTCCTCCCACTACCTGCCAGCAACTTTAAAGATTATTAGCTCATTATTTGGCACCTCTTCTTAAACCAAAATAAACCCCAAAACATAGGCAGTCGGGAAACCATAGGTTTTAAGGATACCCCTGCTTATTACTCACCTTTCAGAAAGCAGAACTGATGCCAGATCACCCTAGCAATCGCATTGCTTAGAGTTATCAGTTGTTCTCCTTTCTAAAATACATCTTTCTGACAGAAACCCGCAGCTAGCATTTCCCTTGCACTCTCTTCACTACAAATCCATCACTGCGCTTTGCTGCAGTCCTTCCTGTCCCTTTGATCATCTCCTTTATACCCCTCTGGACTTGTGCGTAATTCCCGCACGTGCAGCGCATGGAGAAAGGGCTTTGCACTAAAAACCTGGGCTTTTCCAGGTCCTCTTCTCTTTGGGAGGGAGGGAAAGCAGATCCCCAGCTGGGGGAAAATAGCACAAATCCCCCTAAAGTCAATAGCATTGCTGTACTTTCGACACCTGAAATTCTGGCCGTTTCTCTCTTGAAATGCCTAATAATTTAACCTAGTTTTTACCGTTTTTTCTCTTGGAGCACTGACTGCTGCTTTAGGAATCTCCTTGCAAGGCATAAAGCTCAGTCCATCCTGTACGTTGTGACTCAAAGCAACCTCCTTCCTCCCATTCCAGACATCATGTCCCTGTGGAAATGGTTTATGATGCTTAGGTGCAATTTTTTCAAGCAGACCCTGCTTTGGACACTTGCTTCATGTATTTTACAAGTTTAAATGGTAAATTTGGCTACATTTGGCTATTTCTTAACCTGCCCTGCAGGAACGGGGCACTGCTGCTCCTAGGCACTGCCTGGCGTGTTCCAGAGATCCGGAGCTGGAGCTCAGGGCCACGGCACTGTGTTTGGTGTCTCCAAGCCGCACAGCACGGTTCAACTGCAGGATTTCAAGCCCCTCGCTAGCGATCCAAGTGGCGGATACTCCTGTAGCTCTGCTCTTCCTCACAGAGCAAGACAAAACACCAGCTCTAAAATAACTGAGTATCTTGGAACTGAGCTAGAATAACCCACCAGCGGGATTAATGCGCAGTTTGACCATTCCAGAAGCTGGGAGCGCCTCGTACCTCTGCCCAGCCGGCAGAAGCCAGGGGCTGGGGAAGGGGATTTCCTTCTTCACGTGTTCCTGTGTAGGGAGCGCGGCCCTTTGCTCTCTGCGGAGCCCCAGGCCGCCGAGGGGCTCCCCACGGCACGGGCACCTCTCAGCCCCACGGCGGCAGGGGCAGCGTGGGGGAACCTCCTTCACAGGATGGAGACCTGGCGAGGCCAGGGCAGCCCTAAAACCTTGCAGAGAAGCATCGTTAAGAGAAACCTCAGTGTCTGATATTTAATTGGGCCTTTCAGGTTTGAAACCACCGAAACTTTGGCATACGCCCATGTGAAACGTCTTGTGTTGCTAAAGCAGCAGTTTAAGTTTAACCTCATGAAGAAGTAAAAATGCAGAACAACTCTATGCCAAACATATTCAAGGGAAAGAACGGTCCCGTGTGCCCTAAAGCCAGATCTCTTCTCTGGCTGCATGCCGGAGGCCGCTCGGTTTAGATAAGTACATGAAGTCACCCAGAGGAAGATTATTTTAAGAACGTGAATGTTTTCTTCCCTTCTGTTTTCTGGAATGCCGGTGAGGAGCGGGAGGCAGCGCGGGGGAGAGGCCAGGCTGTTACCCTGCCCCGAAGGGGACGCGGAGACGCTGCCCTCCCTCCCCGGCCGGCAGTGACCCCTCCCCGCGCCGCTCTTACCTAATTCCTGCAAAACAAGCAGAGCCCAAAGGCTCCAGGCTCACACGGCACAGGCACCGCGCCTCCATCGCACGGACGGGCAGCTGCTGAGGAGGGACAGGCTTGGGAGCAGCTCCGAAAGGTAACCCGCTGCTTGGCTTTCTCTTTGCAATCCTGAGGGCTAACTAACACTTCCAGATGTGCACCAAAACCTGGCAAAGCTTGCCTCCTGGCAAACTGTCTTACAGGAACTGGGGCAGGAGAAAACTATCAGTGCAAACCCCAAAACTGATCAAACATCGATCCAGATTACTTCATTTCTGCAGGGAAAAAGAAGCATTTGTTCCAGACCAAACTCTGGTGTGAAATATGAACTCACCAGTATGTTTTTAGTCCTGGCCCTTGGCTCTATGTGTTTTTAAAAGTGCGTAAGCATCCTGATTTACTCAGGACTCGCTGCTGTGGGCAAGCTCCGAGGGCAGCGGCTCCCGGGGCTCTCCCTCTCTCTCCAGGCAACTGCTGCAAACTGCCTTTAACTCTCGTGGCTTCTTTTGCAGGCTCCGCACGGCCGAGATGCTTCTGCTGCTTTCTCTGGTCGCTGGACTTGCCCTTTCTGCCTCTGATGTCGTGACAGACCCTGATCCGAACTCAGAACCGCTTAAGGACATACAGAGGAAAGTGAATGACCTCTGGCAGAGCCTGCTCTACCCAGCGATGGTTAATAACGAGACCGAGGGGGTGATTTATGCCACCTGTGAAATGCTGCCCAGCCCCAAAATAGATGCTGACAAGCCACGAGTGACTGGACAGGTTTTGTTCAAGCAGTGCTACTCGCACGGAAGATTAGAAGCAATTTTTGACCTGGATGGGTTTCCGCTAGAGAACAACCAGTCTGGCAGAGCTATCCACATCCACCAGCTTGGAGACCTCAGCGATGGCTGTGACTCTACGGGAGGCCACTATAACCCTTTCGGTGTGAACCACCCTCGCCACCCTGGGGACTTTGGCAACTTTTTTCCTAAAGAGGGCAAGATCTGGAAATACAAGCCAAACCTCCTAGCCACTGTGTTTGGCCCGTATTCCATCCTGGGCAGATCCATAGTGCTTCACGAGCAGGAAGATGACATGGGCAAGGGCAACAAGGCCAGTCTGGAAAATGGGAATGCCGGCAAGCGTCTCGCCTGCTGCGTGATCGGGATGAGCACCAAGAACCTGTGGGACAAGAAGCTGTCTGAGGCTGCAGACAGGAAGAAGAGAGGCTCAACGAGCAGGACCAGGCTTAACTGAGCAGCCCCACAGCCTGCACAAAGCACCTTCAGCTCTGCCACCGGCCACCCGAACACCTGACAGGAGGGCTCCCTTTCCTTTCTGCTGCTGCTTTAAGAAACGTGTATCGCTTTGTAGAGCGGGTCTTTCCTGTAGGCAGATCAATAAAAACAGCATCAACTCAACCTTGTGGTGACTCTTCTTGAAGATGCAGGATTCCCTTATGCAGTTGGAAGCTGAATGCATGTAGTTAAGAGCTGATAGAGAGGGCTGATAGTTTGGGCAAAGACACTGGCCCTGTCAGGAGGGCTCAGGACACTGTGAGCTGAAGCAGCAAAGACCAAAAGAAAAAAACAACAGTAAATCTGAAAACTGCCTCTGATTAGACATGATCGGGTACTCGGCTGCAAGTGTGAAAGGTGAAGAGATCCCTGTGCTTCCAAGAGCTGTGAGGGCGCGTTGTGCAACCCGGATAACGGCGAAGCCCTCAAATGCAGGGGAAGCGCAGACAGTTTCTGTTTCAAATTTTAGATCTTTCCTCTCGTATTTGCAGGTTTTATTCTCAAACACGTGTACGTTAACTGGTAACTTCCCTTGTTTAGGTTGCCCGCAGGGCTCTGGCCGAGTCACAGGCTCCAAGGCGGAGAGCAGACCGGTACGAAGGGTCCCGTTTGCTGCCCACATGCTCACTCCCCCACAAAAGCTCCCTAACACTCCTAGTTTATGACGTTTAGCAACTCGATTACATACAAAAGGTTTAATGTTGCTTGTGATAAAGTCAGTAGATCAGAGAGAAATAGTATTTTCAGAGCTAAAACACACAGCATGATTGTTCACACAAAGATGGAAGCAAGTTAGACCTGGAAAAGTGACAGAGAAAACACGTAAGTCAGATAATTTTTGACAGACGTAAAACTCACACTTAAAAGCTTTAATTTTTTAATGCCTCACAGTTTAACACAGGCCATTGAAAATGCTGAAAAACTAACTCATAACTAACATTCATCTGATACTGAGAAAACAAGGAAATAAGCATATAAAAGCAGCGTATCAGGAAATGTGTGTTTTTATTAAAGATGACAAAATATATTAATATTTTTGGACTACATTACGTATTTAATTCAAGTATCAACAAAAGAAAGGTATGCAAATAAATAAAACTGCATTAAAATAGAACTGCAAAACAGAAGCCAGTAAACAAAATCTTATCTCTCAAAAATGCAGCAGACTTTCAACTTAATCTCAGCTAAGATTGTAAAATGCATTCCTGAGCTCATATGGATTAAAGAAACTCCTCCGCCTTTATTATACAAATCACCATATGCTTAAAAATAGTCTCATTTAGAAAGGAAGCATTATTCTAAAAGATGCTTCTTAATCTGTCATTTTCACACACTTATTCCACAGATTCACTCGACGCAGCTTTCCAAATAACCACAACGTGGAACTTTCAAATCCTTCTCACAAATAATGCACAAAATCACTTTAAGGGGAGACAACTTCCCTAAAGCCAATTGTAAACTGGGTCCATTTGCCGCGTACCCCTGCCACAAGGCTGCTCCCCCCAGCTCGCCTCCCCAGGGCCCAGCACTGAAAGGGCTTGTGCATGTGATTTCTGCATTCTTTAAGTCCTAGAAATAAACAGCGCAAGCCTCAAGACCAAACAAAATAATGCTGATTTTCTCCTCAACAAAATAGGAATGGATTTTCTGAAAAAAAAAAAAAAAAATCACACAACATTATCAATTAAAGCAACATCCAAGGGATTGTTCACAATAACAGTTAGCTATTACATAGTGCAGCAGTGTTGTCTTCCTTGGACAAGCGTCCGGGAATCCAAGCCTTGTGCTCCCAGGAGAAGGCTAAAGTCATAGCTAGGAACTTGCTTCCACTGGGGCCCAAAGGACAGAACATGGCTGCACCAGCAACATAGCACGAGAAATGAGGTTTCCAGAGATCTAGATATATAAGCTGGCACTAAATGACTGCAAAGATATAAAAAGGGCATTTAAGAGGAAAGAACGGTGTGATGGTAGCTGGCAAGATGACCTAACTGATGGCCATACATCCCCTCTGTGAAAGAAATGAAAAAAAGTAAACGACTTAGGCATGAAAAAGTGACCGCTTCTGTCTGCTTTAATCTTTTCACCAGAACTTTGTTAATTTAAAGCATTAACTGACAACTAAGAGTCCAGGAGCTAAGAGATGAGAGAGGAAAACAACGGCCATAAACCACCCTGAGCATCTCAGTCCAGCTCTGGGGAATCCTGACCTTTCTGCCAGAATCCTGCCTCAGTTCCGACTGCAGTGATGCTCAGCTCTGCGCAGCGGTACTCCATGGAACATGGAAAAGAATATATCTTCAATAAAGTGACACTTCACGTAACATCCTGGCATTAAAGTTAAAAAATCCTGCCAGAGATTCAGGATTCTCCCAGAGATGTCAGGGTCTGCAGCAATTTCTCTCCTGCCTTGTCAGTACTGTCATATAAATGAGTCAATAACGCAGTCAGCTGCAATTAATGGCAACAGCATAACAATCTTTCAAAAACTTAAACTCTTCTTGGTTTCAGGTGATGAGGAACTTAAGATGAGATCAGGGTACTGAACGAAAACTTTTTGCTGCCTCACGTCCCTAACACACTTAAATATATAGATGTTCTCTGTTCCTCGGGGCTGCTGCTGCTGCTACCAGCAAAATGCTGCAATGCCAAAGCACCTTTAAAGAGAAAGGAAACATTAGTGAAGAGCAGGGCGAGTATCACTTCATTGCCTGCAAGGAGACACTCAAAGGGTTACATGAATGCACCTGGTAGGAAAAAAAATGCATGAAAACAGAGACAAGCCACATTTTTCACCTTCCCACCATAATTCCTTATATTTGTATGTAATCATTTACATACAGCCTTTCTTCTGCTGAATACAAACTGTTCATGGACTTCGACACCTTGATTACAGCAGCACCTGCTAGCTCAGCTTCCACAGACAGAAGAGTTTGTCAGTGCTGCTAATATAAACTCTGTTTATTCAGTAGCTGACGAGTGGGCTGTAAAAATTTGCAGCTGGCAGTTATTTGTCAAAAGAGGACTCAGCCTGGGAGGGATTTTCCTCTTTATTAGTAGTATTTTATTAAATTTGGTTTAATTCTCCCTGATTGGTTTCAAGTTCGAGGAGTGAGCAATGCACATTTACAGACAATTAGGTCCCACGCCAGCAGAAAAATTGCCTTGCCGGCTGCTGGCCCATAGAAGCCCCACAGCTGCAGAGCCTCTTCCTCGCGCTCCAAAGAGGGGAGGAAGGAGGAGCCTCCCCTTCTCCCACAGCTGCTGCCTCCAGTGCTGCTTCTCCCGTGTTGCTGCCTTCCCGGGAGCAGAGTGGCTCGGCTCCAGCACCAGGAGGGAGCTGGGGACGGCCACAGCAGCCCCCTCCCTCCCCCGTTAGCACTGCAGGGTTTTCTTGCAGCTCAACATCAGCAAGGGAAGAGGGATAAAGAAGCCACAGCAAATGAAATCAGCCTCCTACTCTACCCAAGATTGGCGAACTGTGGGTGAAACGGAGAATTATCCCAAATTCCAAACCAGGAGAAAATAGGAAGGCCTTGACTCCTTTCAAAGCAAGGGCAGAAACGGAGCAGGCTGGAAGCGAGCGCCGGTCACGCAGCCCACGGGCTGTTCCAACAGCTCGAGGTTGAGGAGCGCGATCCCGAGCGGTGGCCCGAGAGCCAAGCGGGTGGACAGGCTGTCCCTGCTGCCCACGGCACATGGGAACTGCAGCTGCAGGTCAGGGAAGGGCTTCTGGCCTCTCCGGGGAGGCCTCCTCTAGAGCTCCAGCACGTGGGCTTCTCTGGTGAAGAAACTCCCTGCAGCTTCCTGAGGCAAGGCAGGAGAGGAAAGTACAAAATTTAGGCAATTGAGAATGGATTGTTTGGAAACGGGGGAACGACAAACATGCAAGGAGGGTTTTTCAGAAAGTATTTTGATTCCTATAAAGGAATAACTGATTTTAAGTATATACTTGAGTCATTGTGCAGAGAAGCAGAACACAGAAGCAAACAAAAGCCTTCTACTTGAAGACTCTTCTATGGTTTATCATTTCAGACTTTCTGTCTTTGGGAGATATTTCTAGTCATCAGAACACAGTAGCCCTAAGACCAAACCAACTGCAGACGCCTGGCCATAACCCGACATGACACATTATCACCACTGGTCTCTTCACCATGGCGTTTTAATTATGTCTTCCTATCTAGAACCTTCCAAACATTACCAAAAAAAAAAAAAAAAAAAAAAAATCCAATCTCAGTGGCTTCACGTTCTTTCTCTTAGGTAATCTATATTTTTGGTAGGCTATGGCCAAAATTAACATGAAAACACCCTTATTAGACAAATATTAACAGACTGATGCAAAGCTCAACTCTATGACACACTACTGCAGTAACCAGCCACATCCACAGCAGCACCACAGCTTGCAATGCAAGAGGATGACAGAAAGAAACTCAAGGGCTAGGACTTCATACCTCAAGCCAAACTGTTATCCAAATATTCAGAGTTTTCAGCAGGACTGGATGGCTTCTTGCCTTCAGATTCAGGTTGCTCCTCAGGGCTGTTACTTGTGTGAGCAGCTGTGACATGGAGACCTCCAAGCCTTCCAGGGCCCTCAAGATCCATGGTGCTGCTATTTTGATTCCCTTTTTCTTTCATCACTTCACAGTTGCTCTCTTTTAGGAGGTCAGCCTCAGCTGCCTGTTCATTCTCCGAGGCTGAGGGATCTGCGGACTCGGATCGGCCGGAGCTGGATATAGGGAGCTCTCCCTCAGAAGAACCATTAAGCTCAGGCCCAACTAATGTGTTCTCCACCCCTGCTGGCTTTTCTGCTCCCTTCCCTTCCAGTTCTGCAACGTCCTGTTTTTCTGGCAATTCATTTACTTGACTTCCAAGGTTGCTTATTTCTCCTTCCTCAGAAGGTAATTGAGGTAATGCAGGATAAAAATGTTTATTTTGGTTATTTAAGTTTGCTGGGGAATTGACAGAATCTTTATCATTTTCCTCTTTATCAGTTTCTCTTGCAACAGCACAAGTTTCATCACGTTCTCCCTTTTGCTCTGCTGAAAGAGAAGTGAAACAGCAACATGGTCCACTCAGGCTCATGTATTTATGTATGTCTGACCTGAAGACCCTCACAACAGGCTCAGAGCACAGAGACTTCTACCTTGGTAAGGGATTATCTGGAGCGACTCCTTGTCCCACCCTAGGCCCTTTTCTGAGATTTCTAGCCATCAGCATTGGCTGGATGAGGCTGCTTTGCCAGCTCTAAGGAGGCATAGCCCAAACCACAGTGTGGGATGGCCCACTCAGCCACTGATAACACAGCAAGGCCCTTGGCTGCAGGGTTTTTTGGCAGAGCTCAACATCAGTCCCCAAATCACTGCTGTTTTTTCAGGGCTAACACAAGCTCCACTTTTCTGTTCGCAAGTTTTTATCCAACAACGAACCTGTGTTATGGGTCCTGCAGCACCTTTCCTACCACAAAAGGTGTTCCTCATTGGGGTAACGGCATAAAATGAAGCCGCAGTGGAAGAACATGAGGAATATCATTATACCCAAAGCCAAACACTGGATAAAAAGTATCAGAATAGAGAAAACAGCAACGTATAAACAAACAGCTTTATAAAATGAAAAGAATCTGACCTTCTATCAATTAAGGACAAAAAGTCTCATTGAAAATAAGCTCGCAAAGTCAAGGAAGAGAAATCAGGATATGAAAGCAGTACGGCTGTAGAGACAGCTCCAAGTATCTCCTGCGCTGCACGTGCAGGGCCTCGGCTGTGTGGGCACCTTGGGGGCTCGTCCCCCACGGAGAGCACGAGCCGCCCCATGCAGGAGGGACCGGGGCCTGCGCGGTGGGATCCCTCCTGCCTCCGTCGGCCCCTCTCCTTCCCAGCCTGGCAGCTGCTGAATGAAGGGAACGGGCAGCGTTGCTACGACTAAGGAAGCCTGGAAAGCTGGAAGAGCTGGATTTAAGAGTCTGTGGCAAAGCGGGGATAAATTAACTTTCCAAGGTGATTACCCACTGGATCTAATCCTCATTATCTGAGCGCTCAACTGGAACCCTGGGAGCTGGTTTTGCAGCACTGTCAGGCTCCCGTTATGCATCTGAACATGAATATCTGAAGTGCTCTAAAAATAAACAAAACTTATGTAGCTCAAATTGGCATTCAAAATTAGTAGGGAGTCTACACTATTCTTCCCATGCCTCAGCCTCCTGCCTCTATAGTGTGGGCTAACACCACCCCATCACCTTGCTGTAATTTTGTGAAGATGAATCATTTGCAAGCACTTGAACCCCACAGAAAAGCTCATTGAAAAACTACTTCTGTCTTCAGAGAATGCTTGGAACAGTGCACAGCCAACAAGGCACGATGTGCTCAGTGGTGAAGGGAAAAGACCTCTGAGGAGCTGCTCACTGAGAGCTGCGACGCTCCAGCACCATCGAGCACACACACCCCCATCCTGTGCACCGGGTAAAGGGAAATCCTGTGGAAAAAGCCATCTTTAAGTCATGCAGCCTCGCTGCAAGATGAAACATTTTCACAAGGAGGCCACATGCTGCATTCTACAGACGTGTATCATCCAGTTTAACTGCAACAGGGCAAACAATTACAGATTAAAACAGGCCTTGATGAGAAGAGGGTAAACAGATTAGATTAGATCAAGCAAGCCTAAAAAAGCCCCTCTGAATACCTGCAGATATGGCTAGGGCAACATTTGATACCTTTGTAGAAGCTTCTGATAAAGAACATATGTTCCTGCACAGGCTTCCTGGGCCAAATATGTAGCAAGCATAAACTGTTCTGTACTACTTACATGACTGCAGTTCACTAACATGAATCATCAGGCCTAGATTTAAAGATGGGTAATTTCAGTAATTTCTCAACCCATTCTAGTTTTTTCACAGGAAAGGTCTCTGTCTTTTATCTTGGAGGGGAACCAGTGTGACCTGTCAGGCACTGATGCTTCTTACCATCACCAGAGCCTCGTGTCTGCCTTCCAGGGGCATTTCTCTCTCTTCTCTTCTCTTTTCTTCTCCTTTTCTTCTCTTTTCTTCTCCTTTTCTTCTCTTTTCTTTTCTTTTTTCTTTTTTTTTTCTTTTCCTTTCCTTCCTTCCTTTCCCTCCCTCCCTTCCTTCCTTTCCCTCCCTCCCTCCCTTTCTTTCTTTCTTTCTCTCTCTCTCTCTCTCTCTTTCTCTCTCTCATCTAGCTCTTCCCTATTTCCCTTTGTGCATTCAGGTCCGACACACACTGCCTGTTTCCCATCCTCTTTCAGTCTTTATTACGACACCACTTTTGGTCAGAATTTCAGTTCCTCCCTCCTGTGCTTGCAGTGACGCCAGACCCAGGCCCCCCCTCACTCAGACTCCCTTCATCCCTTCCAGTCCTCATCTCTTCTAATCTCCCCATCACGTGGGAGTCCTGACCTCAGAGTGCTCTTCTGCAGACTTTCTGTCCTCTCTGTGCCAGGTTTCCTGCCTACCACATTTACAGTATCTTGAGGGACAGGGGCATGCAGTTTTATCAGCCCTGGTAGCGTTCAATAAGCTCAAAGTCAGAATAATCTATTTTAAAAAAATCACATGGGAATTAAAAGTGAATGATTTGTTGTGGGGTGTAAATCCCTTGTTATAAGTGAAAACAACAACTGATTTAGGTAACAAATGAACAAAAAAATCTAAAGTAGAAAATGCAGCATGGAAAGCTTCAGCCCACAGTGAGGTTGGGCAGCATTAGAGCGCTACAAGAACAGGGGCTGATGAGATCTGACAGGGAGCTTTAACCAAAAGCGTAACACCAGCCTCACCTAGGACAACTACGCAGCGAAAAGAGCACAAGGCCATCAAGCAAATACTTTCAGAAACTGCACATTTAATAAAGATCAATGATTTAGCAGGCCTACAAAAATGAATATTCATGAGTTGTTATTACTCACTGGAGAACTATTCACTCTAGTTTCATTTCTTATTTTCAACCAAAAGATCAGCTGATCAAGATTATAAAAAATGATCAGTCTGGCTGTCAGGTTTTATCAGCTGATGATATGGATAATAAAGTCAAAATTAAGCTACATCTATTTAGTTTCAAGACTAACAAATAAATTGTTTTAATGTTTCATAACCATGCTGAGAAAGATCTGGGCATACCAAAAACCTTATGCCCATTAAAGAGCTTATCCAAATGCTGACAGGCAAGCATAATAATTCACATTCCATCCATTATGAAAAACTAGGGAGAAAATTAAGGTTATGCATAGCATACTCTTTTTTTGCTACTGTCAAATAAAGTTAAGCTTGACTTTGGAAAGAAGATGTTAAAGCTTGCTTTTGGGGAAGGATTTAACAAAATACGTTGAAGGCTATAAAAGAAAAGTCAATTTCTCTGGAAAAAAGGAGTAGGGTATTTCAATTTATCGGGTGCAATCAGGAAGCCTTTCATGTAGATATGAGGTATAAAGCAGGGAAGTGCTAAGCCAGCTCTACCCACTGCTTTCCTATTGTGCATTTTAACAGAGGCAAAGCGAGCGGGAGGCAGTTAGCTGTAACACAGAGGGCATGAATAACTTCTCATAGTATTGAGTTATCTGGCACGAAAATTCTTTGAGGTGTAAGATCAGATATCCAGCACGGTGTAATCTATCCAACAGTCATTTTTTAGAGGTATCTCTGCTATTTATACTGGGACCATCTATCCATTTTACTTGTGGTTGATTTATTCAATCTCTGTCACCAGTGAAACTCTGCCTTCTGGTACCCCAGCATGAAAATTTAGTACTTTTTATTTGCAAAGAAATGAGTGCTCAGCTTCCATCATTTTCCTTACGTTGCTGGTGCTCACCTGGTACTTTAGTTTGCTGTGACTTGTCTGTAGATGCTAACAAGGGTGACCTAGACCGCTGCATAACAGGCAAATTTGGATCGTTGAATGTTATAGTATCCTTTCCACCTGAAACAAAGAAAATGCTGGAATCACTAACTCATCAACTGCCTTCACTGTTCATTCCCGATACTCAAACACATTTTGCAATGTTATAGGAAGAACAGAACAGGAAAAGCATCTCAAATGATCCTTCCATAGCATGGAAAAAACCTTCTGTACTGCAGCTGAAATACGCAAGTCAAACACAGAAAAGGCATTTTTCTACCCACACTACTGGGGAAAGGACAGACTTTGAAAGAGGACCAGATGCTGCATTCAGCAAATTGTATTAGCCACACAATTCAGCATATTAATCATCTGATCAGAGCAGAAGTTTTGCAAGAGGCATTCTGAGGTAAGGCTTTACCCTGGCACACGGATCGCCTGCCCGCTGCCACGCAGCCCTGACTCGGGGCCCTGCACGTCCTGCCTCAGCACTGCACCTGTTTGCACCTCGAACTGGGTTTTGCAGCACGCTCCCCCCTGCACACGAGCCCACAAAGCCCCTTTCAAAGAGAGAGCTAAGCAAAAAGCTCCGCGGAGGACGCCAGAGCCGAGGGAGAAGCACGCGCACCCTGCCAGGGAACGGCAGGGATTTTCATCTGAAAACTCCCAAATCATTTCTGAGCAGTTCTGCCGCAAGCCAAATGGAAAAGGGCCTCTTTCCAGCTCTTTTGTAGAGAAAATTGTGCAAGAAACTCTTCAGCTAAGGGCTCTGCTGTAGATGCGTAGCCTTTACATGTTTTAGCAATACAGAAAGCAACACCTGCAGATCCTTTAGCAAATCCTCCACTATTCAGGATTCTCAGGTCTTTTAGTGACTGACACTGCCTTAAACCTGGAGGGGAAATGGCAGGAAATCTGCAAGATCAGCTAAGCAGGGCCCTGCACGGCCTCCAGCGCGCTGCCAGCTGCTAAGTAATGGCTGCAGAGGTGGCAGCTCCTGCTCTATTTATCTCCATAAGACCGGACATTTATGTTACTATCACTTTTCCCCCCCTCTAAATCTGTTTGTACATTTCCCCTTAAGCCAACATCCTAAATCTAATCACCCTTTGGAGACAGAGACTTTCAAAAGAGCACCAGGTCAGGCGACAGTGCGAATAAATCCAACTTTGGCAAAGTTCTGGTGCCTTCTGTGAAGCAATAAAAGTTGAGCTCCTCTCACGGAGTCCAGCTGCACTGTCCCAACCCCTAAATACTTTTGAAAAGAGTGGCTGTAAATATCTCGATCCTGAAGCTGTCATGGATTTTGTAGAAATATCCCTGACAAGCTGGGTATAGGCTGCAACAGCGTGAATGCACTTGAATTTGGCAAGCAAGGATGCATCAAGGATTTTGCCTTTGCTATAGCAAATAATAACACTGTAAGATTAACTAGCAAAGAATGGAGTGGAATAAAAGAATTCACAATGTTAAGGCAAATTAACTAAAAATGGTAACTAGGCAAAACAAGCCCAACTGCTATTTCAAACCACAAAAGCCCCTGGAAGAGGGAATGCACTTTCCTGTATTGGTGCGGGAATTTTCTTTGGGAAGGAGAGCTAAACTAGACGGGAAATAGTGGTATGAAAACATCCAGCAGATATTCACACACATAGTCCATCCATATCCCAAAGATCCAATAACACTCAACAGAACAAGATCCCAAAAGATTAACCTGAATAATTTTTAAAGGTGTTTGTTGTTGCTGTTTGTCAGCATAATAAAGCGAAGCCTGAGCTGGGATCCCTGAAGCTCCCAAGACAAGCTTTGAAAAAGAAACTTCTTGACTTCCAGCCAGCATTTACGCAGTAAACACATTCACTTTCACAACATTTTTTATGAAAACTGACTTAGTTACAGAAAATAACAGCTAACCTCCCACACATTTAAGCCACAGCTATGCAACTGAGTTCCTATTTACTTACACTGATTTACATCATTTCATGAAAGAGGGCCGTGGCTCTTGCTGGCCTGTGAATCATGGCCTGATGTTGGACTACATACAGGAAAGTTCTATTAGCTGCAGGTCCAGTGAATTTTGTAACTCATATGGCTTTGGGCAGAGTCCCTCTATAAAACGAATTTCTCAAGGGCTCTCGTGATTACAGTGGAGATCACAAAATAGGCAAGGAAATAGCTCTTCAACAGTAGTAAATTCAGTTATTTGCTTCCTTCTCCAGGACAAGCAGACTCCTCCAAAGGATTCCCAGTCTCGAGGATCCTTTTACCTCCTCTTCTCCATTTAAACAATCCTACCCTACTGTAACTGGCTATGAGCAACTCAATGCCACCCCTCCACTGCTCCATGCTGACTACTGCAGAGCGAGGAGTTCGGAAACACTCCGACGAACCTAGAAAGGAAACACCTCAACCATGGGTGATTTTCTTCTTCTTAGGCACTGGACATCAGGGATTTTCAGGAAATAGTGATTTGAATAATACAGAACTGCTTACATGAAGGCCTGAATCTGAACATGAAATTTTGAGAGGAATAAGCTGGCCATTATTATCACTTAATATGTTGAATAAAATGCACGTGCATGTGTCAACCAACTGCAACAAACCTGAGACTGAGCAAAGAATGCAACGTTTCTGTGAATATCGCATTCTTGGCTGCCTTCTCAACAAGGGTTCATAAGAGAGAAATCTACACTCAAGCTTTCTCTTTTCAAACATTTCATAAGAGATTAGATTAATTAGAGCCATTTTCCAGATAGGGGAAGCTGCAGCTTGTGGTAGGCAGAACTTTTACGGAAACTGAACTTATGCTCCCACTTGCACTATTTCAAAATCAAAAATATGCAGTTCCTCTTGATCTAGTTTCTCCACCATTTATTCCTGAATTGCACATAAAACAGATGACAAATACGTAACTAAATACATGACTAAAAAGTTAGAAGCGATCCAGTAGGGTAAAGTCTACTTCAGTGGGGTAAAGCTTATTAAGATCATTTCCAAGCATTTGGAACATATCAGTATCATGGTGACGGTGGATGTTATAAATGATATATAAACAAGGATGCCTAACTGGGAACATTAACTTCAAGTAAAATATCTGCCATTTATCAATGTGCTGTCTTCTATTAGCAGATCATCGGCCTTCATGGGTAAGTTTTTCCAGTAAGAGAAAGTTCAACTCACAACCCAATGGTATTTTTCTCTCTGGACTTAAGACAGACCAGATGAGAAGCTCTTCACATGCTGCCTTCTCACCCTAGCCAAGACACAGCTGCACAGGCCATTATGATAGTTTCCACATTATTTGTTATACGCTGCTGTTTTATGGAGCAGAAGGTTTCAATGTTCTCTAACTAGCGACCCACCAGGTGTTGCAAGGCTCTTTCTGACCACCTTGGGACCAGCCTGCACTTGCAAATAAAAAATACTCTCTTGATTTAATAGAGAATCAGTAAATCAACCAACAAGCCTTGATGCTCAACAGAATTTGCAATCCAGTGTAAAATTCCATTACATCTATTTAAGATCATTTCTTGTCACTATTTTCATCAATTTAAAGGAACAGTCTTATCCAGCAGCCTCCCTTTTCCTGGTGGTCATCTAACTCGCTCATTGGAACATCTTAATCTGACAGATATAAAAGTATTCAGATAACATTTCCATTTATTTACATGCAGTGACAATATTTAACATACTGCTAAAATCAGTTACTGAAAATATACATGTCAAGCAGAACCTACTCCCAAATCCCACTGAGACATTGTAGCTCAGGCCTCCACGCAGCAAAAGAAAGGAAGGAGAAAAAAACAGTTGTTATTGTACAAATATCAATTTGATATCTTACCTAAATAGAGCAACAATGGAACAAGAAGTTCCCATTGTTTCACATACTCTTTTTCAATACATTTTGCAAAGTTTAGAAACACTGCATTTATGAATATATGAATGGAACAGTATTTTTGGGAAAAAAACCCCAAAACCCTTCAGCACATTAAACTGTTAAATTTATGATACATATTTGTACCAACGTGCAAGCTGCACTAGCAGAGTCTAGATCAGTATTTTGCCTGCATTTGGGCAAGGTGGCAAGGGACAAATGCACCGCTCATAGTACGTGCATCAGGTAACTAACTGAACTGCACTCCATGGAGCAGATTTGTGACCTTGAGCTCTGAGAAGCAACAATGATGGAGAAAAGCAGTTTCAGAAAAGTGAAACTTCGGAAGGACCTACAAGGGACAAGCTAAAGGGGAGATGCACCATTGCAGTCCAACGGGTTGCACAGTGTAGGCCACGAGCACTTGTCACAGGGGCTCCTCAGCTGTGTCAAACGCTGTCTTCTGCAGGGAAACTTCAGTGCTAAATAACAGGGAGTCCAAAGCTAGAAGCCCTTTTGACTTCAACTGGCACAAAAGTTTCTACCACCAGGAGCACTGGTGAAAGCTCTGAACCATTGAAAATGGAGAACAAAAGTGCCTGGTGGTGCAGACAATGGAGAGGAATAATTCACAGTGGGTGAAGGAGATGCAATTAGGTGTAATGAGAGAAAAAGAAGCAAAAAGTAAATGTAAATCAAATATTGCACATTTTCCTAATAGCAAGGTCTATTAGGAAACAGATTAATCTCCCATTACTTGAGTAATTTAAAACCAAATGCAAAATTTAAGATGATGCTACCACAAATAATCCTCCTCTAGAGAGATGGACTAGAAAATTTAAGCTCTTTTACATTTACAATTTCTCAGAATTTATGATTCTACGGGAAAAAATATGAAAAAATACAGCAATAAACCCTATGGAAATTACAGAAAGTACAAAATTAATAAATAAAATTTATTGAAAAAGTTAATAGCTAATATTCTGAATGTATCATTTTATACAACCACTTAAATAAAACAGCCTTTTTTTTGCCTTCAAACTATGCAATATACAGCTTTGAAACCCATCTTAAATAGTCTAGTGATTTTTTGTTTCAATTTAACATTTATTAGAGGGTTTTAATTTCTCAGATGTGCTGAACATCACATTTGCAAAATCACTGTCGCATTAAAAAAATTATTATAGCCAAGCTTTTCTTAAATGCAGATATACCATTGAAAACTACATAATGGAAACTGCTCTTGAGGACTTCTACTAACCTGGAAGACTCCACAAGCCAGCAATTTCCAAAGTCCTTAACTTCTTTTCTAGTTCTTCCACTCGATTACCTAGAATTCTTTGAGAAAAAAAAGCGGGGGGAAAACAAAAGTGATATTTAGCTGAGATGAAATTTCACGTCACAGTCACCTAACCAAAGATCACCATTTACATGCACTTCAGTTCTTAAAGTGTTACTTTAAGGCAATGGATAACACCTCTAAGCTCTGGGAAAATGAAATGTGGTTGCCTAATATCCTACGATAAGAAAAAAAAAGTTTAGGAGGCAGTGGACATTTGACCTGTGCTCTACTTTTAAGACCACCAGTAACAATTCACAGTGTTTCCATCTCCTTATCTGCAAATACTCCCTTTTCAGACTACTTGCAGCTTCCTTACAGCTGAAATCAGGCAGGAAAGCTAAGCAAACAGACTGTAAAACTCAAGGCAACATCTGGACTGGTTCTGAACTTTCGAGACATCCTTTTGGCCTCTTGCTTTATTCACAGAGGTTTGCCTAGCCCTAACACTGCTTAACAGGGCAAGCGATACCTTTCCTGCTAAATCTTTTATTTTAGTCCCGAATTCTTTCTTTCTTACCAAAAAGTTTCAAACACTTCATGGCCCTTATCACCCACTCGTAGTTTTCACCGCACTGCTGGGGCCACCTCTCCTTTTGTATCTGATTCCTCCATAAATGCTATTTGCAGTTAGCTCTCCTGCAGGATTTACCTTTTAGTCTTAATTCTCTCGCAGGATCGAATGATTTTGATCTTGCAAAGAATTATTTTTTGCAGTGCATTTCTGGAAGCGTCTCTCCCCCAGGCAGGGCCGCGTCTCCTAGAGCCTGGAGTCTTTTAAGACACCTTTAAAGAGCTCCCATTCAGCAGAGGGGGGACCGTGGTGGCAGGGGCACCTCACATCAGAGCCGGAGGAGCCGCCGGCCCCGTGGGAGCTGCGTGCTGGGGGGCAGCACATCCCAGTCGCCCCATTCTGCCCTCAGGTTTATGCCGCAGCCACCTGAGCATCCCGGGGCTGTCGCTGCAGATGCGGGATGGTGGAAACGGAAGGGGCTTGAAAAATCCGTTACCAAGGAGAAAATAATACGTTTTAAAGCTTGGTGGGGATGCAATAAAAGCCTGCAGTATTTTAAAGGTTGCAAAACATTAAGATGAGAGAGAGAATTCATATGAAAAGAGAAAGGAAAAGTTCATAATAAATATCAAAGAAAGCGTGGAGATGTGCGGGGATCTGTGACAATTACAGAGCAACCAGCCCTTGATGCTCACAGCAGAGAAAACATTGGGGAGCAGTTATGGTTATTCCTCCTTTGAACTACAGCAATCAGGTAGGCCAGGGTTATGATGGATCTACTACTGCCTCCTCCAGCTGACTCCAAAACTGATGGAGTCTTTATTTTGCTTTCAGAATACTTCCCTCTGGTATGAGAATCTCAGACCTGATAATTCCATTTCCATATTTCAATTTACGGACCAGGCTCCCGAGTGTCCAGCTGCTGGGCATGCAGACCACATAACCACAAAAATATTTTTTGACAAAATAAGGGTGTAAGTAGTCCTGAATACAGAACAGTTTGTCCCATTTACTCCTCTCCCTTGCGAGGCTCCAGACAATTTGCTGCCTCCGTATGTGCTGTGGGAAGGTGCACTGGCCTGCAACCTTTCCAAACAGCAGCATGGGATGAGTGCATCAAACTGCCCAACGTGTTTTCTGTCTCTAGCCCCAGCGAACCAGATCCTTCAGTTGACACAAAAGATCATGTCACTGGCAAAGGTGCTTCTGCCGTCATCTAGACAAGAGCTACTTCTGCCGTCATCTAGACCCGGGCCTAATGCAATACGGCAATTAGTCTAAGCCTTTCTCCAAGATGAGGTTTTGCAGAAACGTGGTATTTCTGTGGCCCACATACCAGCAGCAATGAGGACACAACCTCAAGGGGGACGTGCTGCTTGACGAGATGCACCTGAGCTCTGCAGCTCACCCTCACCGTGGGTCTTGGCACGTGCCCTCAAACGGATCCGGTCACCCAAAGGCCTGTAAATAGGGCCTGTCACTGCCACGCTTCCCGTTCTGTGCATCACGGGGAGGCACCTGCTCAGCTACAGGCTGACACGATCCTTTTTGCTATTTTGGCCACGACTGAATTCACCCAAGTGAATGACTTCAAACTTAGTGCAACATTGCTCCAGCAGAGCAACCTCTAAACCCACCCAGCTTGTATGGGTGCTGGCAAATTCATGAACAAAATGTGCTACAAAAGAATATATAAGAAACTACTTATTACTGGTATAAGCCAGAAACAGTTTTCTAGGCTGAGTTAGAGCTGCTTATTTCCACATTTCTGTAACTATTTAATCTCGCAATATCTCGCTGCATGCACAATTCATTTAGGACTTCCTTTTCAAATGAAGCTCATTTGTTTGTGAGGAAAAATATAGGACACTGCTTATACCTTAGCAGTAGGAGCTACCAATCACCTATAGAAATTGACCTCTTTTCTTTAGAAAATATACTCACTTTTCTTAAACATGGAACTGAAAAAAATTAAAGGCTGGATTTACGCCAGTCATTCCTAGGCATATATTCCTACAGTTCTCTCTATCTTGCCACATATTTAGAAAAACAGCAATAATAGAAGCCAATAAAAGCGTGTCTGTTCCAAGAGCAAGAGGCAGTGGATGGTTTTAACAGCCGCAGAAAGCCATCTTCTATAGTACATCCAAAATCTAATCTAACTAAAAAAGAAAAGAACCATTAATCTGTTATAGCATCAGTTAATCAAAAAGCCATCTACCGTTCTGTTATTGTAAACTTAAGTGGCCATAGCCCAATCTCCCAGCAGCAACACAGGGCAGGTTAATGGTTTGGAGGCAAATGGGTTCATATGGTCTCAGGATGCTCATTTACTGGTAAGAGAATCACTAACGGATCAATCATCTATCAAATAGCACAAGTAAAACTTCTCCCCACAATGAAGTAAGCACCCCAAACCTCACACTCTTAACCCAACAGTATGAGTGAGTAACAGTATCCTCTGAACATGCTCTTTGCACAGGGAAAGAGAACAGGAGGATAAAGGAGAAGATATCTACCTTCTGATTTATTCTGGCCTACATTGTAATTAAGTGTCCCAAACAACCAACTATGACACCTCAACTAAAGGCTGTTTCTTCCTGATGTCCTGCCTGCATTTCTCTCTTTCACTGCAACCCTTTCATATCTCAGATGCTTCTATGTGAAGTACGTCCCATTTCTGGCCAGCTCCTTCCAAAAGAAAGCTAAAGCCAGAAGTAACAGAAAGTGTTTGTGAGGATTTTCACTCAGCTTGCCCAGGATCTATCCTTTTCCCCCGCTAAAGTGTCCTAAACTGAATACAGCATCACTATCCTGAGCACCCTTACTCAGGAGAGGGGTGGGTTATCACCTCCCTGTAAGATCCTTGTAAGTTGATCATTCTGTTGTGCATAAAATAGTAGTTGGGGTGCACACACAACTCTACTAGCTACATACTACCAGCTTGGAAAGCAGCTAAGAGAATAGTATCTCCTTGTGAAGGCTGATCTAAAGAAAACCCACACTTCAGAGTTTAAAACAGAAGCTACAGCCATTATCACATGTACACATCTGAGAGATGCAGGACACTGCCTGTGATCCAAAAAGAGACACAAGGAAGAAGTTTGCTACAGTTATAGGCAAGAACAGGCAAACTAGCACCCCAAGAATGACACAGTCAAAAGGTTGTGGAGTCGCCTTCTCTGGAGCTCTTGGCGTTTGGATGCCGCCCTGTGCCACGTGCTCTAGGTGACCCTGCGTATGCAGGGGGTTGGACTGGATGACCTCTAGAGGTCCCTTCCAACCTTAAGGATTCTATGATTCCTTCAGCAGTTACAAGAGCAGTAACAAGGGTGTGAGGAGCTGCTTACCAGGGCCCCAGCTCCTCCATTAACACAGCTCAGCAGAGAAGCCCTGCTCCATGACGAGCCTGCAGACCTGAGGCTACCCAGCTGCCACCAATTAGATGCAGGCTACACGTTCACTGCTTTAGTCTCCTTGCAGCTGATTTGGCACTTGCTTTCTCAGGAGTATTTAAGAGTGACTATAAACTGCTCCTCCACTTCTGTTGCCACATCGCTAAGAAATAGGCAGTGGATTCTGCCTAGTATCAGTTATCAATTTTCCAAAGGAATAATCTATTCTAGTGCAATACAATTTACTTCAGTAATACTCCTTCCTTCCATGAAAGATGCCTGCCTGTTCCTGGCATCTGGTCCTGATGTGCCTTTGAGAAGCCTGAATAACCTCTGATTACCAGTAGTGACTCAGTGTTGAAAAAAAAAAAAAATGAGCACAGAATCAAGGAACACTTCCCAGCTCTGATTTCCATACATTACAGAAGAACAATAATATCAGACTATCAGAAAATGAGTCCAACATGATTACATTCTGCCATCATAGGTGCTGTGCAGGATACAAAGAATTCTACTGATTAGTAGAACACTTAAGAGTAAACAAATTCTCCTTCTTGAAAGTTCAGATTTAAAAAAAAAAAAAAAAAAAGCAAGCACTTGCAATCCAACTGTGTTTATCTCCTAAAACTTCTGGCAAAAGTACCTCTAGGAGCAATGGCTGTAAGCTGTGTGACCCATAGTCTCCTGGCCTCTGTCAAATGTTACGTTCAGTCTTTCCAGATTCCTTAGGGCAGCATTTGCCATTCCCAGCAATGTTCCTTAGCAAATTGTGACATTAGCAACAAATTCAGCAGCTCCCTTTTCCTTTACAATCTGAGCAGTCGCCCAACCCTTTTCTAGCAGAAGCTGGAGGGCTACGCTACAAAGCCCAGACTTGTTGCTACAAAGTGCTGTTTTTCCAAACACATGGCTGATCTTTGTGTCTAAAAATGAAAGAGCCCACTTGTTAACAGTGACAATGGATCTCATGGAAAACACATCCTCCTTCCCATTTCCCCAAAATTCTGCAAATCCATCATTTTTTTCATAGCTTGGTAAATTCTCCTTTATGCAGGAATCATGCAACCTACTTGTTGGTTTGTCTTTGGTGTTGTATGATCATGTTTTTCTCATGGATAGTCTCCAGCAACGCAGTGGCCAGTGATTTGAGATCTGAAATGGACTGCGGTGTGACTGGCAGGCTGCAGCCTTGATCCTCCGACAAGAGTTCTTGGACTATAAAGTTAAAAACACAAATGAGTTTTGGCTTCTCATGCACAGAGATGACACAAACATTTACTTAGCATTAAAGAACTATTCTCGTTGCATAAATGAATAAAGATTTTCCTTCAATTAACAAACAAAACAAAGATCAGAAATACAATACCCAATTGGCATGAAGGTGGTGGCTTTTTGAGCTAATTGTTATTCCACAGCAATTGCTAGAACAAGTATAGGCAGATACATTTTCTGCTAACTTCATTTTGCTTTCAGACAAGTAATTTTTGTTCTGCAGGAAACAAACTCATTCTTCTACGCCACTGAGCCACGCAGATGGGACAAGTGGGGCATTTCTCTCCCTTCAACATTAAAACACAAGCCCACAAGTAAGCTTTTATAGTACTTTTTAGAATTATTACAACCTCTGGGTTAGTTCAGATTAGTGTGAAAATACAGCCACCCATGAATTTTTCCTCTGGAGCTTAAAACCTGTTCACTTCTCAAGCACATCAGCAAGTTTACTAGAATCTAGAGTCTGGCCCCTCCTCTTTATACAGACATATGCTAGGAAACACAGGACATACGGAGTGAAAACCAGAAAACTGAGTTTCAACTGACAATGATAAACATTACTAATCTCATATGCATTTGTATATGTGAATACACAAATACAAGAAGAAAGGGAAAACTGTAGGGTACAGGGACATTGTGTAGCACACAGAAGAATTTTATCTGATATTCTGCTTTTTGGTTCTTATCTGTTTCCCTTCTCATGAAGAAACATGGGGCAAAAAGTTTTCATGCAAACTATCGAAACATAAAGCTTCCAAGAACAGGAGCAAGAAGTCCAACTTAGCACCTTTCCCCCTCATCCCAAATCTTTTTTTTTTTCTCTCCCCTGAATATACATCGGGACTGTCTTCATCAGCAGAGCTAAAAGATTATTTGTTATGGTCAAAATTGCAGATGGGCTTAGATACAAGAAAAAACAGACTTTATCCAATTGACTGGGTAAAGAATGAATGACAAGAGTAGCTAAAGGAGAAGTGGTACTAATTAGGAGGGAAATTTTATAACATCAAGTCCTGAGGAAAGGATAAAAAACAAGGATATGATAATAAATGTGAAAAAGAGGAAAGATTTTGGCTTGGCTGGTTAGAAAAAGTAATAGAAACCAAGATGTAAGATAGGAGGAACTCAGTAAGCTAGGTAACACCGTACTGCATCTGTGTGATACCTTGCTTTGCAGAAAGGACTCCAGTCAGAGCACTGCTACTCGATCTACCCTGAGTCTTCGAATTTTTTCGCCTCTCTAGTGCATTCTAAAGAAAAAAAAACATTACAGTTTAGAACAACAATAGCTCCAAAACTTTTCATTAGGAGTAAAGGATCTGATACTTTGGATTTTGGTCTCAGAACTTCCCCCTGAAGTGACATCCACACTATTCTTAAGGATGTGATGCTTTTGGAGTATGAGACTCTCTAGCCAAAACAGTCTTTGAAATGTTAAAAGACTCATTCTCTCTCATTACAATGACTTTATTGTATTCCTCCCACTCCTCCTCCACTCCTCATGCATTTTTAAGATTTGCCTACTTCTGAATAAACTGATGAGTGCCAGGGAAGATGTTGCAATATCCCATGGAGAACGTCAGCTGGGAATGAAATCAGATTTCCCCCATCATTTCTTTGTACAGGGTTCAAAAGGAAAACCCAAACACATCCCTCTACCAAACACAGTTTCTAGAAGCTCTTTCAGTAGTAAATACTAACTTTTAGGAGTCCGCAGCAGAATCATGATCCTGCCTCAGAAGTTCAGCTGTTCTATTGCCTTTGCAATTCCATGAAATCCAAGAGACTCCTGTGATTCTCAGAAAAACTGCTAACTCATACTCTGAGAGACGCAAGTCATAAGAGTAAATAAACACTGAAATGAAGCTGGCAATACTTTAAGGATCTTTGCTCATGCATAAAAAGCAATTAGTGCTGTGATTGCTTCACAGTGATCTAACTAGTGAAAAATCCTACTGACTAAGACAGCTCCTCCTGTGCTCTGACTAGCAGCCGTCGCCTCCGACACCCCAAAATCACAAGCAGAAGAAAAGGGGCTGCTTGCCTTCGGGGAAGAGCAAGAATATTTTGCCCTTCGGGCTCATTCCTGAAAAACAGCATATATCCAAACAAATGAAGGAATAATAAAGACTTCGTAACCACTAAGATGCATCAAGAAAAAGTCCTATAGTGAGGGAGCAGGGAGACAGACCTGCTTGTGACAGAAGTACAGCTGTATTCACTCGCACACGCTGCCTGGCCCCCTTACTTCTCACTTACCAGTAGGTTACGAGTGAAAGAACTTAGGAAAGGCGTTTCATTCCTTTTCAAGAAACTCCTAAAGGTATCACTTGGTACTACATTGTCTGAGAGGTCTACAGGGAAGATTATTTGGCATATAATATGTATAGGTACTAATATTATCAGAATGTTAATGGTGCATTTTTCTTTGCAGGCACTATTTTGTTCTTTAAATGCATAAAAACATGAGAATGAATAATATCCTCTATAAATAATGGAGTACAGTTCAGATGATACAATCAGAGGACTCTACCTTGTATTTAGTAATATTAGACTTAAGAAGGTTTATTTCTTCTTGAAGGTTGATTTTCCTCTCCTGAAGATATCTGGAAAAAAAATCACATAATAAATTCCACCATGATACACACAACTATTTTTGTGTCTCCTTACTATTTGACATCTGCTGTTTTTTAACCGTGACAGAATTCTTTTCCTCCTATTCCTAAAGCATAAAATAATAAAATCTTATTACTTTTAACCCCATAAAAGTTTAAGTAGGCAAACAAAAAGCATTAGAAAAATATGCTGCCCTTGTGTTAGGTTTGTCAAGCATGCTGCAAAACCATTTTATTTTCATCCTCAGGTTCTTGGAAGGATCTTTTTATGGCCAGAGGAAGTACTTAGTCAGGAAGCTTTTACTTGTGTCCTCTGCACTTGAAGGTTTGCAAGATGGATGCTTGAAGATTTGTATATATGGCAACACAAGACCTGGCTACACAGAGCTTTTCAACTGCAACATCAAACACTTACACAGCATGTCTCATAAGCAATCATAAAGTAAGAAATTTAACAGGATAGTTGAAAAGTGGTAAGCAAGTAATAGGCAGCTTGTCCTTACAGAGTTTATGCACTTAGACTAGGCCACTATCTCCATATAAGAAAAAAAATAATACTTTTTTCCCCTCATTTTTTTCTCCTATAAAAGGCATATGTAACTTTCTGTATTAGGATTGTGCCAGTTCAACTATTTTGAAGGGAAAAAGTCACAGCAATATCTTAGTAGCAATGTCACAGCAACAGTAGAATAAAATACACTAAACAAATTAACCAAATCTCTTAGTTTTTATGCCTGGATGTATTTTCTTTAAAGTTTTCTTGTGATTGACTTCCTGAAGCTGCAGCAACATACTACTTTTCCTAGGGGAACAGTAAAGTGTGCCAGGTGCTCACCTGTTCTCCATACACAAAGCATCTATGTCAATGATGCGGTTTTCATGCCCTCCTAAGACATGATTAAGTTCTTGGTTTAGTCTGTCAGCCTTATCTTGGTAAAACGAGCGTTCATCTTTCAAATCCTCTAGTTCATCCAGTGCAGACTGAAGATCAAGTCTCAGAGACTCAGTCTGAAAAAAAAAAAAGGAACTGTGTTGCTGTTTTGAAGTTTAAACCAAAGACTGCACAGTGTTTAAACTGAAAAAGGAAGCAAGTACTTCACAACAGGACTGATTTTGGAAGGTCCAAACTGTTTCCAAAGCTCCCAACTCCCATCCTGCAAAAGCTCATTAAAAATTTATAAAAGACAAGCATGGCTCAAAATATCCTTAAAGCTCCAAAGAAGAAATCAGAAGAAATCAGAGTTGCATTTGAAACACATTCATTAAGTACATTTACAATTAATTATTGTCCTCATTGGTACCATTTACAATACTGAAAGAAAAGCTCTGATCGTAACTTTGCTGCAGCACTCTGTAACTACTGACTTGAACACTCACACACCTGTACTTCCATGCTCTCCCCTGCACACATAACTCCTCTTAGATTTTATTGACAAGGAAGAAAAAAAATCCCAATGGCTGCCATTTTGTATTGATGACACTTGAAACAATATTTTTAAATTATTTTTACTCTATTTTGGAGCTATTGCATTAATATGAAGTTAACTTTAGCAGCTAAGACTTGTTCACAAAGTGGTTAAAAAATGACTAAAGCATAACAGCAAAAGAAGCTTAATTCATATATGATGCTACAAATACACTATGCACTTCTTAGCATGTAACTTCTGGAACTTCAGAGCTTAACTCAACTGAATTAGAAGTAGGTAAACTTGAACGATAAAGAACAAAAAGAAAGTTTCTAAGGGGGAGCTGTACCCATCTTATATGAGTATGCAATTACGTGGGATTTTCAGCAAGAAAGCTCTATAGAATAAGAAAAGGAACTCAGAAAAGTACACAGTAAGCCAGGATTCAATTGACAGGGTGCACTTAGCTATTAAGCAAAAGGGTAAAGAAGGCCAGCACAAAAAATACCCAAGGGCAAAGTGTCTCAATCCTTCAAGGAGAGAAAACTGAATGTAAAAAGTCTGCAATGTGATGAGAAGTCTTTATTGTCGCCTCAGACAGCACTGATAAACCCCCAAAGGTAACAAAAGACAAAGTGAAAAGGGGCTAGGTGATTTAGGAGAGAAGAGAACTCAGGAATGGAGAAATCAGAGAAATAATCTTATCAGAGAAAAAGCAAATACAGCGAACAGTCCTGCTGCACTTTGAAGAACAAGAAATACACACCTCCTCCTGAGTCACCAAATGGCTCATTCAGGATGGAACCGATACTGGTAGGAATGAGTATGAAATGAGGAAAATGCAACACCCTCTCCACCCCCACAAATCCTCCAAAAGACATCAGGGATCAATATCAGGGAAAGAGTCTGACAGGTTGCTAGTACATGGCACATAATATTAATATGGCCTTGAAGGAGGGAAAATAGGTCTGACGCAAGAAGCTTCCAAATGTGGGGAAAGAATGGTGAAGAGACAGGAGGGAGAGGAGGGAAAACTCACCCTTGTACAGGAAATTTGATTCAAACAATGTATTTAAGGGATGCATCTGTCACTGTATTATTATACTGTACAAGTTGCATACCCAACTTGTAACAGCTTTCCCTAAAGAAACTCTTTCACTGTCACTAGTGACTTGTCACCAGGCGTTGCTGTGCATTAAAAAAAGAGGAGAATAAATAAGCTAGAGGAGGAGGAATCTGGGAGGTGAGGCAACCCGCTCCTAGCATGTAGGCCTGTTCAAGTTAGTGCACATAAGAACTACTGCAGTAAAATTCCCAGCACCCTCATCACTATCCGTGCTGCTAATCAGCTACTAACCATCAAAACCCAACAGAAACAGGCATTTACTTGCTACCACACCAGCTCTGTAAACAACCACATATACATCCATGCGGTTATTACTTGTTCTCGAGCTTTCTCCAGTTGTCCAACGAGGTCTTCACGTTCATGTGCTGCAAAGTAGCGAGCCCCAAGCTCTTCACCTCCAACTCTCTGCTTTGCTATTGTCATCCGAAGGAGCTGCGATTACAAAAGCAGATTCCATAAGCAAGGGAACACAGGCTGTAGCATTAGCACACATCTGCATTAGAAACAGTAAAGCTGTCACAGATGTCATCTCGTCCAAACCAGAAAGCTTGTATTATTTAAACCAGAGGGAATATTCTGAGCTGAGAGCTTGATGCTGTTGTCAGTGAGAAATTCCAGTCGAAGCCCCAAAAGCATCAGCAGGAGCTGCATTAGACCTGCAATAATCGTCACCACAGTATACAAATGATGAGAGCCTAAGGAAGCACAGAGATGTGGTCAATGCTTTTAAAAGTGACAGGAAATAATTCTGGTCAGACTAAAACTAGAGACTTCTCAGAAGGGCATTTTCATATACAGGCCTTAAGAAAATAAGCACTTATCTTCTCACAGATAAGAAAAAAAACCACACAAAGTGGCTTGCTCAGCTTCGCCTTTCCAACACCAATTAAACTGAATCCCACTGCAATATCTCAATGCAGAACTAGCATCAGCTGCTGCTTATACATTTGTTTGTGCATTATTTTTGACTACTCACAAAAGTTAATTCACATTAAAAACAAAAAAGATGCACTTGCAACACAGGAGTTGGCCAAAATCTGCAAACAGTTAATGAGCTCGTCAAGTTTGTGCCTGTTGAAAACAGTCTCACTTAGCTTCTAAGTCAGTCATATCCAATATCTGACTCGAATAGCAACTACCATGAGGATTGCCTTGCAAGAATTACAAGGAATAAAATAACAGCAGGCAGCATTTACAGTGGTTCAAACTGTGTACAAGTGGGCGAAAGTGTGGCCTCCCCGAGGACTAATTTGCAGGAGAGCCCAGAGAAACCCGCTGTGAGAATCCTCCTGACTTTCCCCACATTTTCAACAGCACCAAGAAATTAATGTCCATTATTATATTGCCAGGTTAGGAAAAGCAATCTTCTGAAAGGGGAAGATCGCACATTAATATCTATCTTTGGTATTTATGGGATGCCACTCACCACGGCTGCAATGTGCCAATTAAAATCCTGCTGATGCAAGACAGGCTACCCGAATGATCCTCCCCACTTACTGCAGCTCCAGTTCAGTGCGACTCAATGAAGCCAGCACAACTCGTTCTGATAAGCAGCTCACTTGTTAAGGGAAAGCAGCGGCCCCAAAAGTAACTATTTCTGGCAAACTACATAGCCCTCTGCCCACAGGGGAAGCACAAACTACTGCACAGTCAGTAGAGCTGAATGGGTCAGAGAAGATACAATTTCTAAATGCTTTATCAAAACAAAGCACCAACTAGTAAGCCAAAGCAGCAACTGGCAAATTCTGGAATGGTTTCACAGCTATGGGGTCATTTCTTTAAACGCTAAAAGGCTGACAAGGAAAAGGCAGGATAACACAATTAACAATTTCTTCCAGAATCCCTCTGAGTGAGAAGGGCAGCGAGAAACCAAGGCAGTGCTAGAGACCCTGCAGTTACTCCTGGCAAGGCCGAGCAACAACGGCAGGCACTTTATTTACTAAGAAGCTGGAGGGGAAACAAGGTAGGAAGTCTTAGGGAAGGGCTGCGTCCGAAATCCCAGTTCCGCCAGTCAAGGCAACACTCAGACATTCACAAACTAAAGCAAACTGCCAATGCATAAAACAAGAGCGAGAATCTCGTGGACAGACAGGTGGCCAGTCAGGGGGGTGACGGGGCAGAACAGGCCGAGTCCTTGAATTCCGCACTGCGAGTGTCTCCAGAGGCAGCCGCACCTGCTGGAAAATTCTTCCCTGAAACGCTGTGACCCAAGGAGACACCGAGTGGTACATGCCGGGTGATTAAGAGTTTAGTTCATATTTTAGTGCTTTATGATAAATTTTATACACCTGCCCTCTGGCTGCGGTATTTTTATTTGTTTTTATTTCTGTTGCGCTGCTTGATGCCACGCGGCAGCAGAGGCTCCCGTCTCCATCGGAGGATGCACTATCCGCATGTCACCCAGCACACCACTAGCAAAAACAGTCATTTAAATACTGCAGCTATTATTTATATGTGAATAATTACTCAGAAAGCAGCACCCCCGGGGGAGCCCCGTGGTGCCCCAAGGAGGCTTCCCTGTGCTGGCTGCTGGGCAGGCTGACAGACCCAGAACAGCGTCGCCACCAAAGCGTTTCCAGTGCCTGAGTGCCAGCAAAACACGCAGAAGGAAAAGGAGGAGACAGGCACAAAGAGAGCGATGCTCACAGAAGACAAGGACCAGCACGTGCAGCCACAGCCACCGGCAGCAAACTCCACCACGGAGCCTGCAAAACCTTAAAGCGTGGACCAGAACTATGCAAATTTGTTACATAAAGTCCCAGTGCTGCCAAAACGTATGCACCACGTTTAACTTTTTTTTGCACTGTTACTGCATAAATGACTGTCTGCCTTATAATAACGAGCTGTCAGTAATGTGGCAGCTATTGTTTGCCACGCATCAAGTATCTTCCTCTCACTTAGCACTGCCGTCGACAGCTCACAAAATCACTCCTTTGTGTGGGTAGGAATTCAAGCAGAGGGAACTGAGTCATCATCTCATCTTCTAGAAGCCTCCAGTTTCTCTCCTGCTTTCCATTTTCTCCCCATTAAGAGAAAGAATGAGATTTCATAATTACCCTGCTCTAAGTTTCAGTAATTGTTCGCCAAGTATTACTGGCTGAATGTTAAGGAAGGAGAAAGATTTCCAAATAAATATCTCAAACACTGAACAGTTTTCATGTGTCAGAGTTGATAAGAGATTGTGATCAATCATAGAAATAAACGGCCTTAGAGATCTGTTGCTGGAATGCTGCAGCGTAACTGTCGTGGCACTTCTGAAGCTGCAGCAACAAATCCTTCTGGAGACTTCCTGAGGATGTTTTATTATTTGTGCCATGAGAATTCTAGTGGAATTAACAGAAAAAAATAGTCCAGTTAAACCAAATACAAGTACTTTGCTATTGCCTACCTGATTACATATTTAACATGATTTCAACAGCAAGTAACTGGTCATCACTTTAATGTCTCCTTGCTAATACAAGTGACTGGATGTTCACAGCAGCAAACATTAAAGCAAGTAAAAACAAGTCAAGCCATCAAAACATTTATCAATAGAGCTTATGTATGATTTTAAAAAGAGCTTTTTTTTTTCTGTTTCAGTCCTACAAAGCCCTTGCCACTCAGTGACAAAGCCTGCATGAGTCACCCCTGCTCAGACACAGGCAGAATTGTTCATCCATAAGCAGCTTCACTTGCTGCAAAAGCAGCTGTTTGTTCATCCCTTGCCAGAAGTAAGGTTGACGTAGACCAGCTGGGCAGGATGCCCTCCCTCACTTTGGAAAAAACAGAGAGAAGAATGCAGGGGAAAAAAAAATGTAAGAACAAGCAAATTATTATAGTTCTTTGTTTGTGTATATACCATGCAGTATCTGGACTTCAGGGCTTGAAGTAACCCAGCTGCCAGCACAGGGGAACTGATGAGCTGAACAGAATGGCTTCGGGAACAAGCCCTGAATTTTATCACCAAAGCTAGAAGGGAGCAAAATCTGCCACAGGAGGGAAGCGTTAAATCCCTCAGAGAGCTTTTTTAGGCACTTCAAGGAACAGCAACCTGACTCTAAAATAAACTCTGTTTCTCACGTACTAAGAAAGTGAAGAATGTGTTCCAAAACTGAAAATCCTGGTCTAAAACAATCCCCTGTCTGATGCAATTCCTTCCTCCCTCTTTTCAAGGATACACTATTCCACACGTTCGGCAGGGAATGTCGCTCTGTGTGTTGTTCCACTTCTTGTGAAGATCATTAATTTAAATTAATTCCCAGATACTGATCTTACAAAACGGCCAGCTAGTAACTCGCCGAGTGGCTTAGAGACACCCTGACTCATAAGTGCAGCCCACCTAGGCTCAGGTACGTGAGCAGCAGAATACACCATGTAGCACTTGGATCAGCATACACCGCGTTACACAACTTCAATCTCTGCAGTTACAGCCACGCTATGAATTAAAGGCTCTCTAAGGTTCTGTGTCGGTGTGATGTAATATCCCTGCAGCAACTCATTATAACTGTATACGGCTTTTCCATGTAAGTGTTTACCTGTGCGTTTGTGCTGACTAAGAAGCCCCTGTGAGGTGTCCAGAGCTGCCCTGGGAGAAGCTGCATGGCAAACCCAGCGCCGAGAGGCTGCAAAAGCACCGGCTGCCCCCGGTACTTACTCTCTCTCATGGTTTCCTTTGGTAGTGCAGAACTGCCAGGCACTCAGGACTGTCGTACAGTTCAAACAGTAACACGCAAATGTAAAGAAACGCTCAAGGAGCTGCTCTTTGAAGGCCTGAGCAAGTTAAGCTGAATGTCATGGGTACCAGAAGCTCAGGTCTTACCTGACTCTTTCCCCAATTCCCAAACAACCCACAAAAGACACCTGTGATAACCGCTAAATAGAAGTGTATTATCACAGCATACATATATAGAAATAAAAACAGCAAACCCAGAAACAAACAAACCCCCAACTGAATAATTTAATACCAAACAACTTTTTATTCACATTTTCAAAACCTGTAACTTTTAAAATTTCAGCGGAGGGAAGGAAAGTTTTCATCCATTGTTTGCTCTGCCTTTCCTTTCTTTGCTATCCCCACCAACTGGTCTCAAAGCCAACCTCTCGCTAGTCTCATCTCTGGATGTGCTTCTGCAAACAGCCCCAGCTGTGAACGTTACACTGATTTGGCTTGAGTTGAAATATTTCAATTAACAGAGACAACAGGAGCTAGATTAATACCAAATGGCAGATTTTGAGCAATGTTCCATATAACTTGCTAAATTTAGCAATAAAATAAATTGCTTATGTAAAGGTAACAGGATGAGGGCTTGACATAAGGCTATATATATATATGATCACCTGCCCAATGTTTTTGAGGGGATATCAGCCTCCAGCCTTTAGTATATGATTTTATCATATACTAAAATTCTGCAATTTCACTATAGTGAAAAATATCATGTTCTGAAGATGACATGCCTTCATACTCACAAAAGGAAATACCACTGACCAAATGTGTGTGTATATATACATATATATAAATTTATATAGATTTTAAAGAGAAAGCCTGAGACCATTAAAACAAAGTGAAGAACAAAATAAATAGCTAAGAACAACAGGCAAAAGCAGCATACACCAATACATAATACGCTGCACTTACTACTACCCTGTACAGGCTTTTTTTGTTCCCCTGTTTTGAGCAGTATTTTAATTCAAATAGTCTCGAAGTTCTGTAATCCATTGTTTTGATTTATTTCTTTGTTTTTCTGAGAAGTAAATGCAAAACTCCAGCTCAGGTCACACATCTCATGCCACTTACTAAGAAAAAGGAAAAAAGAAAGGCTTGCAATACCTTATTGTCCCCTTGCACTTCTCCCAGTCTCTGCTGAAGTTCTCTAATCTCTTCGCCAAGACGTTTGTTTCGATCTTGAGCCTCACTCAGTAGCTGAACAAGATTTGCCTGGAAGAGGAGCAGATATCAGACTAAAGGTTGTGTTTATGGAATGTATGTGATGATTGAAAGGAAAGCCAGGATTTCCTCATTATGCACCAACAATCTTCCGATTTACTGGGTTTGGTCCAAACTACAACTTCTCCAGAACCATAACAAAAGCCATTGGGAATCCTATAGGTAAATTAGTGGGAAATAGTCGAAGCACAGCCTGCGTGCATACAAAGTCCTAGAACAGCACATAAAACTCAAACAAAACCAGGTAAGAATATCCACACTAGCTGTGATACCTCGCGTGGGGGGAAGAGCAAAGCATAAAGTATTTAGATAACATTTAGACAAAGTTCTGAACTCACCTGGGATTACTCAAAAGGCTGAGCAGAGGAATAACTATGTCAGGGTGCAGAGCAGGTTCCTACCCAATAAGGAGGGTGCCAGCCTAAATTCCTGCCCCTCTATGGAGTGATACCTTGGCTGTCTAATGGCACAGAACCTCAAACCTGACCTGGCTTGTGCTGCTGGCCAGCACACAGGCCTCTGGAAAACATCCCTGCTGGAGAAGGACCCTTTGCTCCGTTGGAAGATAAAGGTGGACTGACTTGGGGGAAGCAAACAGGCAAAAAAGGCCTCAAAATAATCCAGATCAAAAGTTAGCATTCTCATTACCCTATTGAATCAACAGGTTGAACACTCTGGTCTCTAATTTTAATAAAATGTGAGCTACTTGGTTACTAACCAAAGAATAATGTAATCTCTTTCTTATGCATGAGATGACCAAATACTACAGAAAAGCATACTGCATTTTCCACTAAATACATCTCACAAATACCTAGGCAGTTGACTCAGAGGAGAAAAAGGCTACCCACAAGATCTCTTCTAAAAGCATAATAATCACAGCACCCAAATGCAGCCTGTCAAGATGCCACTTATGGCCAGCGAGGTATGCCATCCATTGCCATCACTCTGAAGGGCATAAGAAGAAATGGGAAAGAATTTCCAGCTCTTCCAGACATGATCTGGTAGAGCCCCATGAATCAGGGCTTCCAAGCTACCCTTACACACAGGCTGTGGCTTTGAGGCCAGCACATCAACTGACAGCTCCTCTTTCCTTCCTGATATTTTAGGTTTGGTTTTAGCGTCCCCACTTGCTGTGCTCCTCTTTGAACTTCCTCCTTTTTCTATTTCAATACCTCTTTCTCTTCTTCCCTGCTCTTTCACCCCTTCATTTATACTATCACTCGACAGTCTCCTATGACATTCTTGTGAGTTCTCTTTTAAAACTCATACACTTTCAAAGCCACATGATGTCTAACACCCACCCATTCCCGTGAACTCTCTCTCACTTGTTTATCAAATACTATTTCCACACTTCGTGTTTTCCATTCCAAGAAAACTACCAACATGAATATAGCTTTTAATGAATTAGACTATTAAACTATGATCACTTGGAACCTGTGTTAAGCACTATACATAGAAAGCTACTCCAGCCTTCTACTAGTCAACTTTGTAATAGCCATTGGTCTAGAATAATGGGAGCTTCAAACATTTAATCAGGAAAAACAACTGAATAAACTGATGTATTCTTCTAGATGAAAAACAAGCCTGATTTGCTGCTACAGTTATTGTACTTCTAGGGCACTGAGAGCAAAGTGTTCATAAGAAATTTATGCAAGTTTCTCATAATTTTGGCAGAATTTTTTTTTTAATTAATGGTAAACCCATAGACTGCAAATAAATAATCTGTGGAAAATGAATCATATCAAACCAACTTACACATCCAATTGTAGGATGTAAAATTAATCTGCTTCTAATTTTCAGGAGAGCAACCATTCAAGGAATGCAAAAGCTTTTTCAAGTATGCTTTGGTAGAATAATTTTTTCTATTAGCTAAACAAATGAGTAATAGTTATCCATATACTGAATGGACTGAGCAGCTTTAGGACACATTCAATCAAGGGTTCTGAGAGGTACTTCTTAATGGCTGTTTATTTAAACTGAAGCATCTATGGCTAATCTGCAAATGTATTTTTTTTAAAGAAAGCTGACTGACTTCAACAAGGGCCATCTAACCATCAGGCCGAGTTAGTGAAAAGGAAGTCTCTTTGCACGACGCTCCCCGAAACACTTCTATTTGCAAAGTCCCTCTTTAGATGAATTTGCACAAGCCCTCGCACCGCGACAGCACATGTAATGTCTACACCTGGGAAGAACTCAATCTCACTGATCAGTGTTTGCAGCTCCAACAGCAGCATTCAAGCAGGCTGAAGCCGAAATCCAGCTCCCACTGACTGCAAGGAGAGCATTACCCTACCTGTATTAAATCTTCCTTCTCGGATTTATTTCCTTTAAAACCATTTCCCTGGGATTGCAATTCTCCGCTGCATTTTATTTGTCAGTCATATAAATGACTTAACGGGACAAAAACCTTTATCCTGGAGATGGAGATTTTGGGAGAGGCTCGAAATGACGAATTTCAGGCATCAAAATAAAACAGCCTCCTTTAAGCACGCTAAGAGCATTAGGGGAGCTAAGTATAGCCCTGTTCCTTAACGCAAAGCCGCTGCCGCTCTCCTGGTAAGCTCTGTCACACAAGTAGTCTCCAGCAATTACTCATTTCCCTGGCACGGCGCTTCCATACAACACATAATTCAGATTGCTCCCTGTTTTAGAGGTTTTGGCAAGACCTCATTAAAGCTCTCAGTGAAGTGCGGATAGGAGAAATTTTTGATTTTCAAGTGCTCTATAGGGCTTAAAGAGAGCCAAGAAGATACTTTAAATGACACCTGGGCTTGGCATCATTTCTTTGGCATATATAGAAAACGTACCAACATATGGTCAAAAGATGATAAAATTAACAATGGAAGACTGGCTGCATACTGTAAGCACGTATTTCTGAAGAAAAGGGAGAAATCTGTGCAAAGGGAAAGGTGATTCATTTTTCTACCTACTTTTCAACATTTATAGAAGAAACACAGAATTCATGTGGAATTTGGGAATTCAAGGCAAGTTACTTCAGTGGACAATAAAGCTCACTGCACTTACTTACGCAACACACAGAACAACTCTGAAATTTAGTCAAACGCAGCTTTTCTGCATTCCCTAGGTTTGACGGTTTCTTTTGAGTCTCAGTGAGGCCTCAGAAGCGGCTCGTTCGACTGCCGGCAACTTCACTGCCCGCTCGGTCGCTCCTGCCCTGCTCAGAACTTTAGCTCCGAGGTCCTGGAGAAGAGAGCTCCAGGGAGCGGCGGAAGCTGTGGGAGCGGGGGAAAGGCAGCGGAAACTGTTCATTTCTCCTCTCTCTCTCAATGCAACTATTTTAATACTAAATAATAGTTAGTGCTTCTTTCAAGCATCTAATTAATTGCCCCATATCAGAAAATCTTCCTGGAGTTCGGCCCCTCTGTCTCAACTTCATTTCCCCTTATTCCTCAGCTCCTTCAACATGAGAAGCAAATTGTTTTATAGGTATTAGCCCCGGGAAACTCGTGTGAAAGACCTGAGACCCCCAAAACAGCACAGTACATAACTTCCCATATTGCTTTCTCCTCTGGCCAAAAAGCAAATGCAGCCATGGGCTAAGATCCCTCCAGATGCTGCGAAGAAGGGAGGAAAAAATAAAAGAAAAAGGAAGTGAGAACATCTCTACCTAGACTCCATTTAAACTCTCAACAACTTTTGGGGGGACAGCAAGTGGATAAGAGCTTTACTTTAGCTATAGATGAATAGTGAAACCAGTGAAGAAAATGCCTATCAATATTTATTTATCAGTCTGAGTAAGTCAGTTAATAATTGTCAAGCAGCAACTGATCTTTCTTCACTATCAGTGGACTGAATTTCAACAGATGATCCAAGAAGAAAGAAGTTGTACCTCCACATAGTCATCCTTGGAATTATGCATTGCACTTAAATTTGGCTCCTTTAACAATTTTGCAAATCTAGCCACACACACATACAGTGCTATTTTCCTTCACACAACTGTAAAAATGATAGATAGTAACAGTGTTTAATATACCTCTCAATTCTCTTACCCATAAATCTTACCTGACACTTAAAAAAAAAAAAAAAAAAAGAAAAAACAAAAGAAAAAGAAAAAACAACAAAGTCTTTCTATCTTCAGATACTGCCTGAAAAAAAAAGTAATTTTTGTTGAGGGGAAGGGAGGCTTCCAAACTTCTAACATATCTTTTATGTTAGAAATTATTCTGTTAATACAAACAGGCTTTTCCACATTGCAATTTACAGTCTGTTTCTTTCAGCCACAGCTTCAAACAAGGAAGAAAACTGAATTATAGGACAGAAAAAAAGTTTGACGAAATGGTAGGCATACTTGATGGGTGTGACTGATAGCAAATTTAATTGCAGTTTCTCCTCCAATGCTTTCATATGATTGCAATGGTTGAATTAATACAGGAAAAACCTGCTTTGCTTACCAATGACCACTGCTCACTCCAAGGCACAGGAACTGATGACCTCCCCTAGCACTACAGTTCCCTTATTATAAAAAGTAAAAATCCTTGTATCTTTCTTCTTAAGTTGAAAGACCACATATACAATACTGCCAGAGCTACAAGTTACAGGTCTTGGGCATGCTAAACAAAACTCATACTTCCCCACAGAGAAACAAGAACAAAAACCAAAGCCTCACTAAGCAGCAACTTGACATTAACAAGAAGAAAACAGTCTTTTTTTCTCTAAATATCTGGAGCTCTGAAAGCCAGGCATGGACCTCAGTACAGGGGGGCACCAGCCTAGACTTCCAAGGGCTTTGCAAGAGCAGGCAGACGGGTTGGGCCTCGCGCCCTTCAATAAATTCCAAGATGATGCCCAAAAAGCAGAATTTTTGTGAAGCTGATCAGTAGAACTAAAAAGTCATTATAAAATACTCAATTAGAATTATTAGAATTATTAGATTATTAGAATATTTATAATGTTAATTATAAAAATGTTATTAAGAAATGTGTAGAACTAAAACTTTTTCCCTCCTTTTTTCAATTGATCTTCTGTGTGTTAGCTTAGCACAACATTGCACAGAACCAAACAACCACTTCACCCACCAGAGCTACAGTGTTTGGTGAAGGCCAACAAACCAAAAAAGGGAAGCAGCTCATCACCATGTGCTCCCAGCAACGAGAGAGGGTCTGAGTATGAACTACTGGAAAGTTGAAAGTATAAAAAGTTATCTGGTAGGAAAGTACTTCAGTGTGAAGGTTCAACAAGATGCTTCAGTCCTCATGTACTCCACACAGAGCAGAGCACTGTTGTTTCCATCAACAGTACATGAACATAGTCAAGAAAATCCACGTTTTTCTAGCCTATGCCAGAAGATAATTTCATTTGTTTCTTTTATAAGAAAAAACTTAGCTGCTTTGAGATTTTAAGGATGACTTAAACTTTGATACAACAGAGAAAAAGAGCAAAATCAGCAAAATCCCTGATGCGTTTTGAGTGTTGTGACCAATTCACCAGGACATACTTATCCAGAGTACTCAGGTGCATGGTGCAGGCAAGGCTCTCTGTTCCATCAGGATAAGTCAGAGCAAGCAGGGGAGGAGAGGACATTATATAGGTCAGGTCAGAGGAACGCCTTGAAATGTTAAAAAAGACACTATATCACATCTGTTAGAATCACCATCTTTTCCCATTTCAAAAAGCAGGATTTGAAGTGTGGCTAAGAGGTCCCAGCCTTCGTACACCGCCACGTGCTCGTGCCAGTGGACACCAAATCTCCCTGGGCCTCCCCTGTGCAGGGACCCTAGTGTGTGAACTCTCCAGCCTGCAGAGCAGGCGCATCAGGAAATGCACGGGAATAATCAGGAATTGCACAGGGACATGGATGTCTGAGGGACAAACCATCTCACTGTTCCCTCTCTGCCAGCTCACATCCCGGGGATCAACAGCACCTACCTACAAAGCAAAGCATGGTCTCAGTTGGGTGCATGCTTAGTGGTTTGCAGCCTCAAGCCTCCTGAAGAGAGGCGGGATCAGGCTAATCTCCAGAGCAGCCCCGCGCGATAAGCGCCGCGTGACGGCCGCCCCTGCAGCGGGCTCTATCTGCAGATGTTATCTCACAGGATTCAGAAGGCGGGAGCTTTTGTGCCTCAGCCCAAGATTAGCAAGGCTTCCTGAATTCATTAATTAGCAAGGCACAGTCCCACTAGCTGGCTTGCCTGATGATGCCAGCAACAGGCAAGAGGCAGTCCCTGAACACAGTCTCTTTTGCAAGTGAATGGTAACAGAGTGCATTAATCTAGGAGCTGGCAGAGTAAAAGGGATCAAAATGGACCCCCTTGCAGTTCATCCCAACATACTTTTGTTTGGAAACTAGTCTTTCTGATGTCCTGTTTGCCGTCACACATCAGGGCTAGGGCTAATCTGTACATGAACAGCAGTCAGGCTGCCCAAAGCCTTGGGCAGCAGTTGGGGTAGCTTGCTTGCTGAGAGGGCAGCTCCAGAGCTGAAGCAGTGTGAATCCAGGCCTCCATCCACCACCTCGGGACAACCATAGGTACCTAAAACAGAGTTAAGGACCACGGCCACCAGGCAAGATGCACTAAAAGATACCCCAGTTTATGTGATGAAACTTCTTGTCTGGTAGATAGAGTGGCTATCAAGCAGTGCCCTATACCTGGGCTGCATGTCATTATGGTTAGCCCCATTTAATTTTGATTTCTGCCAAATTCAAAATACAAATAGAGGACCTCATCCAGGGAGCATATGCATTGTGGCTTTATTTTTGAGACACAGCCCCACTGCAAATCCATTATCTCCAACTGAGTGGTCTCAGTGAAATCAAATTAAGCAAAGCGTATTTAGGACTGTGGCCCAGCACAGTCATTTTCCTAACCATGCGTTTTACTTCACCTTCATTTATTCAAAGTATCTCATTTGTATTAGAAGAACTTCCATTTCATATAGAAGGTCAAAGGATTCACTGATCTGTTATTGCAACAGCAAAGCTCCTCCTAAACTAGTTATACTGAAAACATGAACAATGTAGAAGAAAATAATAGCCAGTATAAATGAAATGAGGAACTCTCTCTCTTCATTCCTTCTTTTTTTTTTTTTTTTTTTAAAAAATACTCTTTCCAGCAGGGTAACACTGCCCAGGTGATTTCCAATGTCTGTTTGCCAATGTTAAAAAAAAAAATCTTTATTCACACCAAATGCATAATACTGGCTACCACTGCAAAATGGGAGAACTTTGATTATACAGCACAAGAGGAACTCTGTATGCACAGTTACATTCTAATATGTCTTTTGAAATGCAAAGTATCCGTTGTTCACTATCTCTTCAGGAAAAAAAAAAGGTGAGTTTTGACATCAACATTGACTCTGCACTATCCCTAAGCTCTCTAAACATTTAATACCTCCCCTTACTTACCCCCAAATTGCTCTACACCTGACGCCAACCCAACGCAGCTACTAGTTGTCAATGTCTGGTATAAAGAGGGTCATATTAAGAACAGTCTGTGATAACGATGTAACGTGTCTACTGCATGGGAAGAGATCACAGCAGCCCAGTTTTTCATTTCATTTCTCCTTTGTATTGGTTGGCTGCAGACTTGGCTGCAGACTCTATGGATGCAGCAGTCTTTGGATTATGGGGAGATTATGTGGGCAAGGAAAATACTAGAGAGCACTGGATGTTAGAATACCCTTAAGTACAACCAATCTTACAAACACACATTCTGGGTAACCCCCTGTGGATCACAAGTTGCCAGTTACATAAGATTTCTCCTACCAAATATGAAAATTGTGTTTTGTGAAACAGAGAGGGGGCCTGATGTGGAAGACAAGGTGTTTTAAAAAGTCACAAAGTATTAACTGATAAGGAAGGTGAAAAACAAAGGAATGAAGAAGAAAGCAGCAGTCCCAAACTCATCCCAGTCAAAGTAATAGACTGAAATTTCAACCATGATTCCTCAGTTCTAAAGAAATACCACAAGCAGCAAAATATTCAGCATATCATGTCCACTGCGTTTATGAGCATGGAAATGGCACACATGTTTGTACCACACAAAGTGCATTGTAAGATCAGGGTCTCTATCTGCACAAAACGACTGTGGGGGTCACAAACTTCATCCAACAGGCAGCTGGGCAGAGAGGACAGGAAAAGTCCCAAAGAGCCCAGAAGAACTTGCCTCTTTCTTACATGAAACAAATGTGCTGTCAGAAATGTATTTACAGTAGTAATGCAAAACCATTAATAACTTTATTTTCCTTTGACGCATTTGTCTGAGCAATTTTAAACTGTTTGTAGAAAGGCTGACCCTGCTAATTCATGGCATACACACCTTCTGTGCTACAGACACACTTCTCTAAATGAACTCCGAGAAGGGCACAAACGGACCCCATCCAGGAACATTTTTTTTGTTTCACTAGAACAAACTTAAGACTTACCTAGAACAAACACATAACTTATCAAAAAAAAAAAAAAAACCCACACCTTCCTATCTAGATTATTAAATGGCTTTTTAGGCATTTATCAAGATTTGCCAAAACTTAGTCTAAATTTAGAAGCTGCAATTATCTTAAATTCTGATAGTATTTTAGAAACCAGAGTCAGAATTATTTGTTTTGAGCGATGGAGGAGGAAGGAGAATAATATCTACGACATGGCAAATCTCCCTTCCTACTAATCTTAGGAACATATAATATACTGTTTCAGTTCCCATTTTAGTAGTAACAATACACAAACTTATATCTGGTCATAAATTTTTATAAGAACTCTGTTGAAATAATAACGTTTTAAATAAATAATGCTAAATAATATCAAGTCAAATGATTGTGCAATGAGCCACTATTCTTGGTAGCTATTTGTTTAAGGGCCTGAAACGTTGTCTCTGAAAGCTTTGTTAAAAAAACACACCCTCCAAACAACTTAAGCCCCAAATTTTTATTGAAATAACAAGAACTGCATGCCAGCTCCCAGAGAAGGGTGGTAAAACTTCTTAGCTATTAAGAGAATGTGGTACCTTGTTTTAAACAGCTTAAGAATTTCAAGACTAACAATATTTGTTCTAGATTCTCCTCTTTTCTCACACATTCTCTTTTTGGTGCAGTTTTTCACTAGGAATCAAGATAATATCAGGATGTGATAGCCAACTCTCTGCAACAGGGACATGCTATGTGGATCTCTAGCAAAAGAAAAAAAAGTGAGCAGGCAAAAAGATTTTCAGGGGACCCATAAAATGCAATTACTGTTGTTCTTACCGTTTATAACCCATAGAGTCCAAATGACCTGGGAGAATACCTAATGGAAAACAGCACTCATAGCAATAAATTAACAATTATGGGATGCAGAGAATGCATTCCCAAACTGCTTTTCAAGTGTAAGAAGTCCTGTCATGCACCCATTTTAGAATGCAACAGAAGAAGGATAAACAACAAGGAGAATTATCTGAAGTCTCCACACACTGACCAATTTCGGTCTTAAGTGAACATAAAATCAGTAGCCATATATTCCGATTAATGATAGTTCTGATATGCCAGGATGTAACCTCTTTAAAAGAAAGAGCCAGAAGCCACAATTTTAAGACTGATCTTTCAATACAAAGGAATATTTGCTTTTTACCAGACTTCTTAGTCAGTATTTTCCTGCTTTGCAAAATGTTACAATATTTGTGTAGCTTTGTTGTACATAAATAAATAACGTCAACTGAAAAATCCTACCTGTTTCCTCTTTTCAGGGGGAAGAGATGGGTCCCCATCCTACAAACAAAGAGATATATTTTATTAGCAACTTATTTCTAAAGCCAGTAATTTGTGGATCAAATTTTAGAACAGGTAACTGCAATATTTTCAAAATGGTTTCTAAAATACTGCCTCTTGATTCACGTTAGACTAATTTTAGCTCAAAAGCTTTTCGAAGGCTCAAGATTTGTTTACATTTCTAGAACAGCAGGCCATTACAAATTTATGTTCCATTGTTTTTCATAACGGTACATTAAGCTGCTGTGGAATAATAATACTGCAGTCAATTTTTTTAAATGGAATTATAACTGAAACTAATTTCCTCAGTGCAGGAACTATTTTGTTGTGCCTTAGATAACAGCCACTATCTCATCAATGCCCAACAAATGAGGAATAGTATCACCAGGATTGTACGACTGCATGACTACTGTAAACAGTATTTAAATATTTTCACAGCTCTCACTATGGTTTTCTTTCAAAATTCAGGTCCATTCTTGTCCCCAGGTTGCTCAGTACTCGTAAGGAACAACCTACAATCAGCTCCCGGTACTTCTTTTTCAGAGACTGGTGCCGTTCCCGCAGCTGGTTGGCCATGAGCTGGTACTGGTCTCGTTCCTGTTGACAGGTGTCCAGCTCTTTGGAAAGGATGAGCAAGGCCTCCTTCTTGCTTTCCAGCTTCCGCTTACACACCAGGTACTGCAGAGGAGAGGAAACAAAGCAACACAAAACATGAGTGAGTTGGGCCTGGTTAGCCTAGAGAAGAGAAGGCTGAGAGGGGATCTGATCAATATGTGTAAGTACATGAAGGGGGGATGTAGGGAGGAAGAGGCCAAACTCTTCTCAGTAGTGGCCAGTGACAGGACAAGGGGCAATGGGTGCAAGTTGAAATACTAGAATTTCCATCTCCATGTGAGGAGGAACTTCTTCACTGTGAGGGTGACAGAGCCCTGGAACAGGCTGCCCAGGGAGGCTGTGGAGTCTCCTTCTGTGGAGATCTTCCAAACTCGCCTGCATGCCACCCTGTGCCACGTGCTCTGGGTGTCCCTGCTTGAGCAGGGGGTTGGACTGGATGATCTCTAGAGGTCCCTTCCAACCCCAGCCACTCTGTGATTCTGTGATAACTGCAACAAGCCATTTCTGCCCTAGTCAGAACCTGACTGCACCGAGTCAAAGGTAGCTGCTATATGAGAATCTGAAAAGCAGTTTGCAAGACCACGTACTGTCCTATCAGCACGTTACAGAAGCCAGCCACTTAAGTTTTCTGCTCTGCTTGCTCACCTACAACGCTAAGGGACATCTCACAATTCAACCTGAAAGCCAGGGAAGGAAAAAGCTTGCAAACTGCCCTTGCTGCTCCGCTCCGCAACGCGCCGCTCTCGGCAGGACACCGGGCTTGCACTGCGCCCTCCTTCCCCACCACTGGCAGTGGCCTCCACGGCAGCCACCGAGAGCCACGTGAGGAAGCCAAGGGCGGCACGAAGGGCAACCAAAGCTCCCCTAGCACCTGAAACCCTTGCAGTGACATGGGCTACACACACAGGACAAAAAAAATGCGGTGCCTGGCACGCTGTGATGGTCGTTGCTGGGTAATCCAAAGAACAGGAACTAGCAGGGAGCGGAGCCACGCGGGCCTTGCGCCTCCACGCGCTGCTCCACTCGGGCTCCTGCACCAAGGGAAGCCCAATCCACAAATTCTCCCTGTCCTGCCCCAGCCCCAGCCCCGTCACTGCCTTTCCCTGCGGAGGGGAAGGGCAACGCGCACATCTCATTTTCCCAAAGCGCCTGATTTTTACCCCTCAGAAGCTTCAAGCAACTTCTCCCCTTCAGCCTGATGTTCAATCAGCAGATTCTTCTCGCCCATCACTTGACACTGCTCATGCTAAAGTATATATTTCTATTTCTGATGTTCCTCACATGAGATGTGGCACTAAATACTTTCCGAATTTGCTCTGCAAGAGACCAAATATCACAGCACTCATGAAAACAATTTATAGTTTCATTATATACTCTGACAAGAATACTTTGTCATTATGGGCTCTTGTACAAAGCAAGAGCATCAGCACTTCCATACTGCTCAAGTCAGTGCTGTTCTTTGGGACAAAAATCATTACTCATATATACTATTTGCTTGGAATTGACTTTGTTAACCTCAATTTCAAGTAATGAGAAAGTGAAACGGGAGTCTGGCACATTAGTGCAGCCAACACTTCCCCAAAATTGTGAACGCTTGCTTGCAAAAAGGCAGGGAGGGAAGGAGAAAAGCAATTCTAAGAAGAATCTGAACTCTCAGAAAGGACACTTCCACCTTGGATTAATTTTATTTCTGGCAATACTGAAGTTGAAATTCTGCCATAAATTTTCTGGATTATGATGCCTCGGCATCACCTTTCCAAAGGCAACTGTATCTATGTGCTTGTGTCCTTACTGATACCTTACACAAACGACAGGTCCCCCGATAAAGCGCTGAAAGGTCCCGGAAACTGAACTTTAATACTGTCAGCAAGTGATTATAGTGACACAGTAAGCAATTTCCAACTTGAAAAAAAACACAAACAAGCCAAGACTTTTTCACTTACAGTGAAATATTTGTCCTGACAATCTCCTTTCTTTTTGCCAGTTTCATCTCGTGTCTCAGCCAATTCTACAATATGTCTTGACTAAACTGTTTCTAAATACTAACAGTCTGACACAGTAATTGCAAATAAAACTGAGTAAATAAAGAAAAAAGAAAAACCCACCCCTAAGCCAAAAAACCTTTTAATCAGCAGCCAGGCTGAAAGCAGCCAAACGGGAGGGGAGCAAAGCAAACACCTCACCTGGATAGGCACGAGCTTCTGAGCTCCCTGCTGCCCGGCACAACTGACCCCCAAATCACATTTAACGGGGGGGAAATGCAGATCTGGGGCTAACCAAAACTGGGGGGGATGGCGCGTTTCCCACGAGGGTGACAGGCACCGAGCCCGAAACAGACTGTGGGGACAACTGTGTTGAGAGCCGAAATGGAGAGGAGTAATGGTCTCCTCCTTGTGTAAACCGCTTTCTAGCCTGATGAATTATGCACTGGAAAAGCACCATATGGAAGGGAGCGGCTGTGCGGCTCTCCTCAGCACTGCCCGCGTTTTGCTAGGAAAAGAAGCACCCAGCAGACTTTCGGAAACTATTTTTGCCCTTTGTGTGTATTGACCTTCTGCCCCCAATAGGATAAAAACAGTAATAATGTACAGTAGTTTGCTTCCATGTGTTCACGGTACAAGAGACAATAAATCCAGAGCATTCCTGTGGAATGGGATTATTCAACAAAACTATGCTTCCAATTCCAAGCACGAAAGAAACACAGATTACACCCGGATGGACCTCAAAGAGGTTACTCAATGGATACGCTTTTGAATGCTAAAAGCAGGTATTAATAATGGCCATCAAGTGACTTAACAGCCAGGCGCGTGGAAAGGATTCTATTCAGGGAAATAAATAAGTAATATACAATTCCCTAGATATGAATGAACAGGCCCAGGAAAGTTGGTGCGCTCTCAACAGGGAGCATGGCAGATTATGGCAATATGGGAAATTTTCAAAATTTTCAAATAGAGTTTCAGAAAAAGCATTTGCTTGATGCTTCTGACATTCCTATAGAGATTTCTCCCTCTGTATTTGACGGAAAAATACTATGGCTAGCGTTACTGAATAATCAATGTGACAACAAAGTTATTTCTGTCAAGTGTTCTAGTTACAGAGATATTTATATAAATACTCTTATTATTATTTCTTTTTATTTGATGTTGAAAAAGAATCTTTATATTCAAAAAACAAAGTTAAATATGAACCAGCTATTGTACTTTCAATCTGCAACTTTTCCTAGCTGTCTAGTGACTTTTATCTACCAATTCACTGTTATCTGCAATAAAGCGAATTATAATTGCTACAAGGAAGATCATAATAATTAAAGGAATATATACGACATCCTAGATCACTGCCTGAACTGCTTTACAGCCAGATAACTACTTTAGAGAAATTGAGTAAAAAGAGACTGACATTACAGGAGAGTGGAATTGCTCCAAGGTGACCCTCTACATCAAACACTTACTATTTGTCCATCGCTATTTTTAGTGACAAATCTGGACAGATCTCATTAGCGACGACGTAGACGTGGTCTAATAATCAGATGGAGCTGGGACACTGGCAGGGTTTTAGTTTTTTTTTTTTTTAACTAACAAACACACTGAATTGATATCATAAAATGATTTATTTTAAATTTGTATAATTACTGTCTTATGCTTGGCTATTTTATGTGAATTGGAGTCAAAAAGGAAAGCATGGAATTTCCTGAGAGTAGAAATATTGTCAGGATCTCCAAATGCTGCTTTGGAATTCCTGTGGATCACATTCTGTGCATTCCCAGGTGCCCAGACTGAGCGATCTCCCAAATGCTGATGTGAACTCGCTGGTGCATGGGCTGAAAACCTGACAAGCACCAAGATCTCAGGTAAACCCTCACATGGAATCACCACCCTTGCGACAGGAGCTACAACTCCTATTTAACTGCTACCAAGTGGCTCTTCCCCACGCTCCTGCAGGTGATTTTTCTGTGAAAATGACAGATCTAAGGAAACGCACCAAAACGCAGTGCGAGGTCACTTAGAGGGGCGCTTGTTGACCGTGTTTGGGTAATGTGGTCTATGGCTTCAGATCAAACCGGGCAACACATCTGGAGCAGTGAAGCACTCAAACCCCGAGAAATCCTCAAGTAACCAGTTCCGTGTCCTCCAGCCCACCTCATCGCCCTCATCCTTAACAAACCCCCAGAAAAGGCAGTTTCTTTGATTTTGGCCCTCCTGCTTTGCTCACTACGGGCCTGCTCGCTGCAGCGGCGCAGCGCAGGCTGGTGCCACTGCCTCACGGGCAGCAACTCGAGCAGCTTCCCAAGCCCCTCGCCTTGCGTTACTATCGGTGTCACTGGTTTTATTGGTACTTTATATCACCACCACTGTTATTACCACGCTGTGTCTTCGCCAATTGTTTAAGAATTAGCATCAAGTCGTCTGATTTGATTATTCTAAATAACTCTGCTGATAATCTTCACCATGTGTATTCCATGCATCATCAGGTTAGCCATTATTTTCTCTACACCTTTTTCTCAGTATCCCTTTGGGTGTCTTATTCCAACGTGGAGCAGGGGGACCTGGACAGCAGACCCGTGTCCTGCTCCCTGACAGCCCAGACTGCCGCTCGCCCCTGCTGAGACCTGTGTCACCCTGTCAGCACCTTCACCATTTCCACAAGGCCACTTCACCCCCAAGCCCATTGTCGGGGGCTCCGCTCCAGTCTGCGGCCTCCGGCCTTTGCCCACATTTGGAAAAGCACCAGAACTAGCGGTTCCAAACACATTCGGTGCCTTCACGCAGGTTCGGTTAAGAAGATTCCTTATTGAAAAGGTAGTGTGACAGAAAATGCAAAAGATGCTACAAAGATGGATATCTCGCTGATTTTCCTTCCTTCTCTCTCTAGTCCATATAAAATAAATAAAAAAAAAAAGAGTTATAGGCAGCTTAGGTTTCCCACTCTTATGAAGACTTCACGTCTGGAACATTTAGGTATTTCAACTAGAACTGTTGCTCTCTGGTTACATAAGAGATAAATGATTCCCCCAACTCTCTCCCCAAGTTTTAAGTTGTCAATTATTAGGGAAGAGATAATGATCAAGAAAGTGCCTCTTGGAACGACGGGCTGAATGGAGACTACATCTCTTCAAACTAATTTTAGGAAGTACAGTCACCTCTGAGTAGCTGCAAATAGCACACGGTGAATGCTGAAACGTGGGTGGTGACAGGGAAGAGAAGCATTTTGACATTGGATTTAGTTCTGGAAGTTGGCAGACGCAAGGGAGAAGCCAGCAGTAAAACACAGCGCAGGCTCCCTAGAGTATGGGTGTCCTAGGAAGCCTTTCCTGCTTCCTTCCAGGCAGAAAATTGCCCACAGAACATACGTTCCAAGCACCACGTTGGGCCCTGGGCCAACCCCCAAGGGAGCTGGTGGAAGGACCCTCAATAACTTCAGCAGAAAGGAGGCCGAGCCCTCAGGAGGTCGGCTCTCCGTGACAAGGACGGAGGCGGTCGTGCCCAGCACACGTTTAGGCCTCCTTCCCACCCAGCCATGATGGCCTTGTGCTCCGGACACCATCCCGAGCCACCACGATGGCGAAACCACTCGGTCCTTTCCAATCACTTATTCTGTCACTGGCCACAAATCAAAGGACTGCTAGAGACTGCACCGAATCTGGGCAAAGACTAGAATCCACCCTTCTGTACAGCAGAACATACAGAGCGGGAAGCTTCCCCATCTCCCAAAACAGACATGGGTTAATTGCTTCAACCACCCTCGGAGTTCATAGAGAGCTTTTTTCTTTTTTTTTTTTTTTTATTTTATATATACTTCATGCCCATTATAGAGGAAGGAGAACTGAGGCAGCAGGGAAAGGACTCCCAAGTTTGTGTAAATCAACACCTTAGCTTATCCACAGAGAAGACAGGCCAAGAAGCAACTCTCGGTATTTAAACAATATTTGAAGGCAAACAGATAGAACTCTACTACCAAGATATTGCTGGCCAAAATTATTTCCAAGAATTCTATTCTTTGTAGTACGAGAACAGCAAAACAACCTCCCAGCGGTGCACTCGGCAAAGCAACTCCTATCTGTCAGATTTTTCTTTTTCACCCTCTTCTAGGTGGAAAAAGGTTTTGTTTTAAATAAGAGACATTCAAAGGAATGTGTCCTACTCTCGAGACAGCAATTGGAGATTTATGAGGATCACTTGTTCTGGAGGCCACAATCTCAGTCTAGTCAGCAAGAAAGTTCTTCCTATGGTTCCATTTCATTCGTGTCAAAGAAGTAAAGTTACTGCCTTGGTCTCCACCCTATAGCTTAACACAGGCTTTTAAATATCCTGCCTTTGCCTGTAACCGAGGCTGGGCAGTGACCTGAAGATGAGACCAAAATCCAGACTGTAACCAAAAACGTTGTGGCAACTCAAGAGAAAAACAGAACACGGGTTTGACACACATTTCTCAAAAACTACCTCCCCACATGCAGCTTAGTCTCAATGTTTAGATCATTAGGAACAATTAAAGTGGCCGGCCTGTCCTTGTGGCACACACATTGCTTGGGCTCAGCTGAAATACTCAGCTGGGGATTTTGTCACTCCACAGGAAAGAGAAAACCAGGAAGAGCATAAGGAAAGTTAAGAAGCCAAGTTTCAGGTTCACCTCAGAACTTCTGCAAACTCTATATATTCAGAAAGTTGCGCACAACAGACTACTGTATTCCATCAAGTTCTGTAAAGTATTAAGATTATTGTATGTTTGTACATACAAACGTACATGCATCACTAGCTGAGCTCAGCTCAGGAACAGCAAAACTTATGTGAATTCTCCTTCCTGAAGCTGGTTCTTTTGTTATGTATCCGTGAGCTTATCAACGACTCCTCCTACAGCACTTGGAAAGTTGGCTTTTTCCCAGTATTTCTTTCCACGTCACCCTATTCAGAGTTTGCTTAAAGGCCATTCAGAAATACAGGTGGTGAAAACCTGAGCTCAGCACACCTGTATGCTAGGCCTAAAACAGATTAAGTGAGAAAAAAATCTGTAACTTAACTGTAAAAGAACAAGCAAGAACCTGGAAATGAACATCAGAAAAGTAGAGAAAGGCATACGTGTGAAGGGGTACACAGCAAAGGGCAATGAAAGGGTGAAAAAATACTGAAAAAAAGTGTGTAACCCACCGAAAAAAACCAAAAAACATGTATTTTTGAAAAGCCAAATTACAAAAATATCCAGATACGTGCATGAGTGTTTGCATATGTACAATTATGGATCAAAAGCACTTCTTACTTTCCTCTTAACACCCAAGATACCTGTTAACACGTGGCACAGATGCTTTGACAAGTATTTTGAGTGCCTCCTCACTTTCAAATTTGGTGGAAGTAAACGGGATCTGGATCCACTGGCTTCTGGTCGTTCTATACCCATATAGTCTACACCCATATATTTTGTACCCAGTTCTACACCTAGCTGTCAAAAACATATGGGATGTGGAAATGAGTAGAGCCACCACGACTCTTTCTGCCCGTGTTAAGCCTTCCATTTGAGAGCATTTCTGTTTTTAGGAAACATTGTCATTGTGTAGGGAAAAAAACCATTAACTACCCAGCATATACCAAGACTAGAAGGCCTCGATAACCTCTGTACCTTCACCTGAAATTGCATGTTGAGGAACGCAGTAAACTGGAAAAAAAATGTTATTACAAGTTACTGGAGAAGTTAGAGCTGCTTTCTCACACACCCGTGAGTATTATCCGAACTTAATGGCTAAAGCACAGAAGGTTAATCACAAGAAAGGAAGGGGAGGCAGAAGAGGGAAGCCCGTTCCCTGACAGTGTGTGCTACAGACCTCATGCAGGAAAACAGGCTGTAAACCTGCTGTGGAACAGAGAGAAGGGAAGGAAAAGTGGAATATAAATCACTATGCCTCTAATTGTTCCTGAGAAAAAGAAATTATACATATGCTGCAGTATTTGCAAGACTGTAGCTCAGCACAGTCATTAAAATTTGCTACCATCAAGAAGCCTCTAAAGCAGAAATAAGCCTTCACCCAAACACTGTGATTTCAGGATTGATTTTGTAGGTTAAATCATAGAAAAAGTCTGAATGTTCCCAAGCAAATAGGAACGACTTTTGAAAGTCAAGGACGGGGACATTTCCTGTGCCCCCAGCCGTGCAGTTCTCCCATCGTCACCCACACGGCACCGCCCGGCGCCCCCAAACCAAGCTCCCTGGGGGAGCCTCGGGCACCGCGTGCTCCTCGGGGGGCTGGCAGGGCCGCTCTTTCCCCTTCTTGTTGGGCAGTGTGTTTGGCAGGAGTCCGGGCAGCGCTGCCGGGCACAGGCCGGGCCCACTCGCCTGCACCTGCACCTGCCAGTGGGTAACGTAACGGGGGCAAAACCCTACTGAGATCCAAGGAATTGGTCTGCGAACATCACCGCCTGGGACAGGAGACTCCGATGCCCTTCGGCCACGTGCCTTTCACAGCCTGGCTTCCAAGCTATAGACACAAGAGCATTATTTCTATTGTCACGCTGCACAGCAATGCAACCTTCAAGCACACCGGCCTAATTCCAGCTTATTTTGCCTATTACAGCTATTTAACTTGATGACACGGGTGTCCGTGGCACTGACCCCGGACTGCCACGTTACCCGGGTGCCTCCCCGTGCCGCGGCAGGCGGTGCCAGGCGCCGCTCCTGCCCCCCGAGCCGCCTCCCGCATGGAGGCCCCGCGCCCTCCCCGGCCGCCCCGGCGGAGGGGCAAGCGGCCGCCCCGCCGCGAGGGTGACGGGCGCCCGGCCCTGCCGCCCGCCCCGCCTCACCTCGCTCAGCAGCCCCTGCCAGTCGCTCTCGCTGCGCTGGGCGCTCATGGCTGCCCCGGTGCGGCCCGCGCGGCCTGCGCGGAGGCGCCGCGGGAGAGGCGGGGCCTGCGGCCTCCGCTCGCCGCCCGCCCGGGGCCGCCCAGCGGCGCCGCGGGCCCGGCGGCCGCAGCCCGGCGGGGTTCGTCCCCCTCGGCGGGGACCAAGGCGCCCGGCCTCGAGCGGCGGGGGTCCGCGCGGCGCCCCGTGCGCCCGCGCGCGCAGGGGCAGAGTAGCGGGAAAGCCGCGTTTCCCACAGCGCGGTTTGGGGCACGGGGCCCGCTCCCGGTTAACGCCACCGGGACTCGGTGCTGGCCGTGCCCCCGAGTGGCAGCGTGTCTGCGCCGCGGGGTCACGGAGCACAGCCACCCCGTTCCCCGGGCCACAGCCCTCATCTGCAGCGCCGCAGACAGGCAGCGTGGGCTCGCCCACAATTGCGCCTTGTTTTAAGCACCCCAGCAGGCAGAAGGAGGCAAAACAACAAGTCATGCACCCATTGTGCTCGCCACCATCCATCTCGCCCCTGTTCGGCCTTGTTTGTGCCTTGGCATCTGGGCGCAGCGGCACTTTGGTTCTCTGGAGCGGCTGTGAGGCCTGCCAGAGCACCGTGTCCCTGTGAGCAGGCGAGCACTCAGGCTCGCCATTAATAAAGCTCCTATTCCAGCCACTTACAGTTTATATGGGAAGAAACACAAGCCACATCATAGGCTAAACCCAGCAGGAGTTCTCTTTGAGCCTAGGATTATTCTGTTTAATAAATGCCCATGGTTCGTTACAGATCACAGCCCCCTGAAACTGGAGGTGAACAACCCGAAGGACGAGTTTTAGCCTACAACTCTAATTCATTGAAGACATAAATAGAGTTCATATATTTTACCTGCAAATTATAGATCAAACTTAGGCATTTTCCCCAAATGTAGTCCAAAATGTAGTCCATTTTCTTCTAAATTTGCTGTTTCTCACTAACATTCCTATAACTGTACTGCTCTGGAGAGTACATTCATCTTTCTTCTTTGTTCATATTTTTTCTGTGGCTTACAGTATCATTTGTGCAATATATCACAATCTTACATGTCCTCTTAGGCTTCTGTGACAACCTATTGCTGAAAACAGCTTCTTGTTTACACCAGCAAATAGCAAATAATGAAAAATAAATCAAAAAGTTATAAATTAAACCCACTGATTAAAGGAATTGTTATGGTGTTAGAATGCCCATCATTTATATAATAGGTAAATAGTAAAACATAGAAAAAGTATATAAACAGGTGAAACTATATAAATCCTAGTAGATAAACTGCACAGAATCTTTTCCCCATTTTTTCTTCACATTTGGAGAATTGCAGTCCTCTTTTTTTCCTGTCTTTTATTCTAGACTTAGAATACTCTTGCAGAAAGATAACTCTCATCTCTTATTTTTGAGGGATGTCACTCGTTTTAATTCCAGAATTTCTTGCAGTCCCCACAAACGTAATGTTTTCATTTTTTCTTGATGCTAATTATTCAAATGAAAGATAAATATTCACAAAAGAAAGGTTATAAAACAAAAGGAACTCTCAATGTTACTGGCTTTTATGTTTCTATCATAAGTCTGATGAGAGCTGGAGTTTTTCAGAAAGCCCAAGCTCTTGGATGACAACCACTACTTTCTTTTGAAGTAAAGGAACATTCAAGGGAATAAGTGAAAAATAAGCTGAAATATGCCTTGAGTATGCTTGATAGGATCAGAACGCAAATAAAAGAGCCCAATATGTATTTTTAAATAATCACGTTTAGTGCCTGATACGAAGCCTTTTGACAGCTTCAACTTTTCTTATCCTCTCTCTTTCTTAGCTGTGGCTTCTCCAATACTGCTACATAGAGGTCCTACCTGGATCCCGCTACTGTCTAAGCAGACATACAGCACCTGCCTTAACTCAGACCAAAAAGCCAAGAACAAGATGACACAAAAGTAATACAGTCATCCCCAGCTTACAATAGGAAAGTGAAGGGAGAAGCAGCTGCCTTGGCCAAGAAAAACAGGACTTTGGACATAACCGGGAAGTGAAAATCCAGGTTATACAAGTACCAGTCCGCTGCTTTCCCTGCAAAAGTAAGTAGGTGTCTCGATTCTTCTTGTTCCTCAGCAGCTACTTTTCTGCCATCACCTTGCCAGCATCAGAGGAATACACTGTTGTCATTCAACGTCTGAAAAAATAACTCTCAGCCTTCCTCTTCAACTACCGCTGTGGTCTTTGTCACTAGATATGTTATCTTCATTGCTTTCTTTCTCCATACATTGGCTAGATAAACTTATCTGCTTCTAGTGTTTCATCTTTCTTCTCTGCAATTCTGCTTTGTAATCACAAACACCGTTTTTTTCCCCTTCAATCTCATATTTCTATCACTTCTATAATCTCCGTAGGTATCTTGAGTTCATCTGTCTTTTCAGGAGATTACTCTCCACTTCTCTAAGCATTTTCCATGGTTCATTAGGAAGGCTTCAAACTTTCTAAACCAATCTTTTTTTTTTTTCTGTAAAAAAATACAATTTCAGGATCAGATACAAACTACTGTGTCTCTTTGATGCAACTACTCAGATATACTCACGTTGGAGATTTAAGCAAGTGTTTTAAAATACAGCTTTTAGAAATCAGAGTGTCTTTGCCAGGCATCAAGGAAAACACAACCCTTTTTTATCCATAGGTAGACCTAAGAAGGGGATGACTTCACATTTTGCTGCTGATTTTTGTCATCATGTGGCCACTGCACTAACATGATTGATACATCCATGTTCTACTTTAAAGAAATGGATGATTATTAAAAAAAAAAAAAAAAAAAAAACACCAGCATGTAAATCCTTAAGATCTGGACAGGCCTACGTAATTGAAACATAATGAAAACATGTAGTGCTTGTCTCCTGAAGAACGACTCAATCTGACTCTCTACAGATGTTGCAGGGCTCCATGTAATGAGGGTTTAACTGCCTCTGAATGAGGATATAACCTATCATAGCTAGAACAGACGTTTTAGTACCTGTGCTAATTTGTATCAGAAATCTTCTTTTTCACATTCTTTTTAATCTGATGATAGATAAACATCCAACCTCCCCAGCTTCATGCATGCATTCTGGAGGAGGCACGCTACGTTTGCGGGCGGTACCATCACATTTATCTACTCTCCTACCTGTTTTCTTCCTTTTGATTTTGCCTTGCCTTCTCAGAGGCTGCTTTTGCCCATTTATATGCCAGCTGCGCCTCCTCAATTTTCTCAGGTTCACTGCTGGTTTCACTACCCTGTATCAGCTCTTCTGCTTCACATGCATGGTCTGTCAGCAGGACAATATGATCTGCAGATCAGAAGCCGTTGAGCAGTTACTCATTTATGTTGAATCCTTTGTGCCCAGGCAAGTCCGTGAAGGACACATCTTAGGCAAACAACAGAGGTCTTTAAAGTGATGGTGTTTCTTTTTCCCTCTTTAACGCTTTTGGGTCTTGAACATATTTTACATATTATTTGCCTTTTGTATTAGATATTACCTCCTTTTTCCCCCTTTTTCTATCTCTTTTTTTTCTTTTTTTTTTTTTTTTTTCTCTCCGGGCAGAGGAGAGACGACACATTTCAAAACACACTGTGATTTTACAAATAAACCAAAAGGCAATATGTGAGGTTTTCTGAGAAGCAGCTCGCTGGGTGCTTCCAGCCTAGCTAGGGGTGATGAGGGCACAAATTCGGGGGCATTATTGGTAAATACCCAACATACAGAACTGCTCGGTTCACACAGTTGTGTGGACCTACTCATTTTGACACAAAACTTGGACTTTGGTGAAATCCTCCAGGAATACCAATTCCCAGGCCATGACTAGTTGCCGGGAGGTGCTGCAGAGTTCAGATCTAACTCAGCCAAGAGGATCCCAAAGCTGTTTAAAATCATAGGTAAAATTAATTGATTTGATTTGAGTTCTACTGGAAAAGTTTGGCACTGTTGTCTCTGCTAGCAATCACATCTAACTCTGGAGGTACTACACGTAAATTATCTTATGTTCACCAGCAGTCAAAGCTCTTCTTCCCCTAGCCATAAGAAAAAAGAAAACTTAGTAGGAATTAGAACATAAAAGTAAAGAGAAAAAGAATAGAATCTCAGAGCCCTTTTAAAGGACTTGTCATTGTAAGTGAATCTAGACTTACTATAAATGAATTTTGTTTTCCCAGATGCATCAAACTGCTGCTGTCAAGACAGTCTCTCACTGCCTTCCTTCTGCATTATTATTATTTCCCTTAAAATATCTTGCTATTGATGGAACTAAAAATGCAATACAGGATCAGAGAAAATATTTTGTCAAGTGACTCAGACAGGCACTACTGACAAGGAAACGTGTACTGCATTTTATGTTCCACCCAGTGTGTTAGAAAAATATAAGAAATAGTTCATTTTACTAGGAAATCCAGGTAGGAAATTCAGACTGCTTTATGTTACCATGAACTTAAGGGTAACCTAGTACTGTCATTCGATCTGACATATGGATGGCTTTTCAGACTCTTCAGTCCATTTATTCAACTGGTGACATGCCTGAAAGCTGTCTGATCATTTCAGAGACATTTATTGCAGTGACCACAATAGACTCTTTGGCACAAAGACTATCACTTCATATATATGGTCAGTACTCAGCAGACTGTAAGCAAAGAATACGCTGGAGAACAAAAGACAGCCAGTCTGACTCTATCCTTCCTAGTCAACTTTGAGGGAATAATGAAAGAAGGCTCACTGACTGCTAGCACAAAAAATAAAAATGAAACACAACTCGATGGAAATATTACAACAAAATAATTTTCCATTTGAAAAATTCTTGCTAGAAAAAAAAAAGGCATCAGTTTTGGTTTGCAATCTTTTGAGAATCACGATGAAATTTCTCATTAGTCCAAGTTTACACCTTAGAATTTACAGTAGGACCATACAGAGCATCAAACTGAAGTTTACGTGTTTTGTGTTCAAAATCCCCCCAGTTTTGAAGCTTGAATCTCAGTCTCTT